CCCATAGAAGGGGACTTTGTTCTTTTGGAWTCATCGGAAACAAAGCTGCTTCAAATAGAGTCATTGGTCACACTTGATGACGAAATTAACATTCCATTTCATATTTTGGCAAAATATCCTCGGCTTCGAGTATTCACCAATTTGGCCGATATTCATTTCTATATCCTGAGCCCGAATACACTGGGGCTTTTATCCCAATTGAGAACATATCAGTTAGAGACAAGCCGTGAAATTATGGTTTCCTTTCGCGAAGAATTTATCCCTTGGCTTGTATCTCGCCAGTATTTTGAGAGAAATTTTAATCTTGATGACGAAGAGCTTGTCGTTTTGGGAGACAACGAAGCTACCATTTCGGAGGGTTCAGAACAATATTCGTTCATGTTGGAAGACTTGGAATGTATGGTGGAGGATTCTTATTCATCTCTAGTTAACTATCAACAAGAAGAAACCACATCTTACAAGTGTTCTGCATTCATCACAGATGCACAGATACCAGATTTTAACACATATGCCCCGCCGCTCAGAGTAAACACAATTACATCGTTCAGCGAGGCCAATAGACAGGTATGCATCTGCTTCTTTCCCTTCAGGCCATTAAACTTATTCCTGCTGCATCTAGAATTTTTGCCAATTGCGAGGTTGGGCTGAAAAGCCAGGTATAAAGACATCATTTTATCTTTCTCTTATAGATTGGTCAGGATTCTCTCATCAGGGAGAATGTCTTTATTGGCGATAGATCCTCAATTAAAAAATCAATTATTGGAAATAATTGCAAGCTTGGTTCTGGCGTCAAGCTCAACAATTGTATCCTCTTGGAGTGTGTTATTGTTGAAAACGACGTCAAGTTGGATAATTGCATCGTTTGCTCGAATGTAATTATCAAAGAAAAAGCATCCCTGAAAGACTGTGAAGTTGGACAAGATTTTGTGGTCGAATCAAACTGTAACACTGCCCCCTCTCGCTAACAGCATCTAGATTCCGGAAATGGGGAGACATTGGTCACAACGACGACTCTTGCATATTCATCTGAAGATACCAACACGTCAGATGGGGAAAATAACACAACAGAATCGGATGGATACCTGGAAGGCACCTCGTCCTATGCCTCCGATCTTGAGGATGACATAGGAAATATTCACATTGGATATTAAAAGGCTGTAATTTAAACCCAATTTACAAAACACCATATTTGCATCAACTTTGTATAAATTGCACTTTTACAATAATGAATCGTGGTGGGCGTCGATTCTACTCGCGTAAGTCGTCCCTTTCGGTACTGAGAACAGCTTTTATGATTAGTCCTTTTTTCTGGGAAGCGCGATTGCAGGGGCAGCTTCGTTCTCTTTATTCCCATCTGCTCTCGTCTATGCCGACGGCGATCAGGCACCAGTTACCACTTACCCATGGTCACATAAAGGGATATTTTCGTCTTTTGACCATGCAAGGTTATTAGCTTTAGCTTGACAGCATAGTATTCGTCGTGGGTATCAGGTTTATAAGGAAGTGTGTGCATCCTGCCATTCTATGAATCGCCTTGCTTATCGCCATTTGGTCGATATTTCTCATACAGTTGACCAAGCAAAAGCAGAGGCCGCTGCCGTAAACGTTGTTGATGGCCCTAACGATGAGGGAAATATGTTCACGCGACCAGGAAAAGTACTTCCTTTCCTTACTAAGCTATCTAGTTGACAGATTATTTCCCGGATCCCTATCCCAATAAAGAGGCAGCACGTTTTGCAAATGGGGGTGCCTACCCACCAGATTTATCCTTAATGGCCAAAGCGCGACCAAAAGGAATAGACTACATCTTTTCGCTGATCACAGGCTATTCTGAGCCTCCAGCCGGAATCGAAATCAAGGGCAATCTTCATTTCAACAAGTACTTTCCAGGAGGTGCAATATCTATGGCTCAAAACTTGTATGATGGCATAGTGGAGTATGAAGACGGAACGCCGGCAACGGCCTCTCAGATGGCAAAAGATGTATGCACCTTTCTGGCATGGTCTGCAAGTCCAGAATTAGAGGAGCGCAAACAAATGATGATGAAGGCCTTTATTGTGTGCTCTGCTTTGACTGGACTCGTTTTTTACATTAAGAGACACCGTTGGAGCTATCTCAAGTCTAGACAATTTGTTTACAAACCAAATTCTAAAATTTAGGACATTAAATAAAAAATATTATTGTCCATTAGTTTAGGGTTAAGGGGGAATTATGCTGGCTTTTATGGCCTCTTGGGCACTCTCCTTATGCTGGATAAAATGGCCTTGAATCATTGCTGGCGATATCTGATCGGCCATTGGCGAAATTTTTTTAACAAATTCATCAACAAGCGATGTGGAGCACGGATAAAATTGTAAAAACATTTTGCTGGCTTGAAATAGAGTTACATTTCCAAAGTATTGCTGCACATCCACCCTTCCCGGTCTTAACAAGGCTGGATCTAGTCTCTCAATATGGTTCGTAGTCATGAAAATAATTCTTTCTTCAGATGAAGCAATACCGTCAATCGCATTAAGAAGACCGCTGAATGTAACTTTCTGTGAAGCAGCAGCCCCTTGCTGCTGGCTTGTTGGTTGGGATCTGGATGCAAATGCAGCATCAATATCCTCGAGAAGGATAAAAGACCGCTCTGGGACCACACTAAATAGATATTGTAGCCGATCATCTGTCATTATATTTTCGGAAAGATTGATGATACAAATGTTATAGTCTAAGGCACCCGCCAAAGCCATAATGAAGGACGACTTTCCTGTCCCTGGTGGTCCATACAAAAGGTATCCTCGACGATATGGAATTCCTAAAAAAACCAAAAACATTCATACCTCGCTGATAGTACCATTGAGAGGCCGAGGCAAATTCCGTAATATCAGAAAACAACTTTTCACAGATGCCATCATCAAGAATCACAGAGGAGAGTGGTCTCTTTTTTCTTGGCTGGCCAAATGGCCGCCATTCGTTTGCCCAGCTTGTAAAAACAAGCGTTTTCCCCAAATAGGCCTTCAAGGCAAAAGACCTAGATTCTTCCAATAAGGTTTTAAAAAGCGCCGCTTTTCGTTCTAGTTTAGTTAAAGTTGTAATGGTGAGAGTTTCAAATGGAATTCCAGTAGTTATGTCAGAGGTTCCTTTTTCCCTGGTCCGTTCGATACGGATCCATTGACCCTTCCAATTTAAAAAGTGGATTCCCGGTGCTGGAATCATTGTAAATGAGGTTTCCGTTGCCCCGTTCTCGCGCTGAATAAATGTTGTCTGAACAGAAAGGTGGTTAGCAGGAGTAAGGATGGCATCGAAAAGGGAGCTTTTTTTTGACGACGCTCTTTGTTTCTGAAGTGCGCATAAATATGGAAGGACCCATCCATAAGCTTTGTCTTTACTATTTATCTCAAGAGTGGTAAACAGCTGTCTTTTTAGGAACATGGCATATCTCAAGGAGCCCTGTCTCAGCAGGGCAAACAACGTTCCAATCCCAAGCAGTCCAGCACCGGCTGAGAAGTACGGATTGTCCAGCAGGAACACGCCACTGGGAGAGGAGAAGTTGGCGCTCATCGGGCTACTTAACTTGACGGCCAATGCAAATACAAAATTTAATTAATTAACTAATGGGAAAGATATCTTCTGCCTTTGTTCATTCTCCGCCTGAGGATCCTCATGCCAGACCTGGTGCTTTTTCGCTTTAAAAAGCCATGCTTTCGCTTTCTTTTTCTAGTGGAGGGCTGAAATTCCGTTCCATAGCATGTCCATCTGGCGATGATTGAGCTGCCAAATGTATGCTGGTTGCTGCAGGCAGGTGGGCCTCTTGCAAGAACAGTCGAAGCAGAAAATATATTTCCCTTGAATTTTATACTTGAGAGTTGAGAAACCAGCGGACCACAACCAAATCTAACATGTTTGAAGGATCAAGATTACCGAGCAAACCGGCCGAACATTAAATGTGAACTTCAAAATTTAAAATTTCAAAGCCATCAACAAATACATTCTGCCGTGGCTGGGTTCAAAAGCTGCCCCTTCTCTTAAGCTGTTCACGTGCACTGGTTTTTGTAAAAAATACGTTTTCTGGAATCTAAGAGGTGTAAAAATTTCGTCATAACCTTTGAGCTTTCCATGATTGCTAGATACTCGAGCGGAATTACAATGAGCAAGAAAAGAAATAGTAGGCAAAGAAACGACAGAAAGAAATGCAAATAAAAGCCTATATCACCTGAATAAACCGATTCTGAAAATTGAAATATAAGCAATAAAAATATTATCAATAAAGATAGCGATACCAATCCAATAGAAAAGGAAATAACAAGCAAATTGATGGTGATAGGAAAAGGAGCCATGTAACTGTCCTTTAGGCATATTTCATTCATTAAAGACGGTCTTGCAATAGACATGGCAGATATATATATATATTTACAACTCCTAAATGATGCACAAACCAGAGGCAAGGAACAAAACGATATCAAAACAACCACTGAGCGGTGGTGACAGACCGATCAACAATAAAATTTGGCCAAATTTAAAATGTTTTTTTGCATGGATCCCATTGAGAAGCTTGCCCATCTTTGTCTTGTATCAAAAATATGCCGTGAGCTGGAAAATCATATCGGGATTTCGGACAAAATATTGGCAGAGTTCATCATTGATCTACACAGCAAAACAACAACTTTGGACGAATTTAAGGCAAGCCTGGAGTCAACTGGAGCCGAATCCACGTTTACAAAACCATTTATTGAAATTTTGGATGTGCAACTACGAAATGCTTCGGCACAAAGAAAAAAGCTCGCCGATTTGATGGCATCAACCGTTCACAATAGCTTGGATGTTGAAGTGATTGGGAAATTTTCTTCTCTATCTCTTCCCAATTCCTCCGGCGGACAGGGGAGGGATTATTTTGAGGAATCAAATATCTCGCTCTTCTGTGAGCCATCCTCCAGATCATCATCCTTTTCGAGATCTAAAGATGAACCACCTTATTCACGGGACAGGTCAAGGAAAGATGTTAAGCCCATCTCAAGACCCTCAAAAAGATTGTCCTCGCCTGAACGTTTTGAGCTGAAACAGCTAATTTCTGCGGGGGTTTTGCCGCCATCTGCGCTTCCGAATGAAGTGGGAATGGATGATTCATCATTTGGGTCCGATTCGGCCGATGGTGTTGAACAAGCTTATGAGATCGAATTATGCGAAGAGGAGCCTTCTTTTCTGAAAGGCCAGACATCCATGACACTAGATCTTTCTCCCATTCGAATAGCGCAGGTTCCGGACGGTTCCCTTGCTCGATCTGCCCAAACAGCAGCCATGCTTGCAAAGGAAAGAAGAGAATTTAAAAGAGAATCGAATTCCTCGACCCCTTCCAATTCAGAAGGCTCCAAAGAAGTTCCGGAATGGAAAAAGATTTCAATGGGTGGTGATAATCCTAAATTTGGACCGCCATCGGAAGGCTCAACTATTGAAAAGCAGCGCAGATCGCTTCCGATTTACCAATTAAAAAGCTCTCTTTTAAAGGCAGTTGCGGAGAACGAAATTTTGGTTGTTATTGGAGACACGGGCTCCGGAAAAACAACACAATTAACTCAATACCTTTTAGAGTCTGGACTTTATACAGACTCGCCCCGAAATTTGTCTGGTAAAAGTCAAAATCCTGATATTTTGAGAAGAATTGGCTGCACCCAGCCAAGGCGTGTTGCAGCAACGTCAGTTGCCAAGCGAGTTGCAGAAGAAGTTGGTACACGCCTTGGTTGTCTTGTTGGCTATACAATCCGGTTTGAAGACTGCTCTTCCGAGGAAACCATCATCAAATACATGACTGATGGTATGCTTCTTCGAGAGGCGCTTTTGGATCCGCTTCTTTCAACATATTCGGTTATAATACTAGATGAGGCTCACGAGCGGACCGTTCATACGGATGTTTTGTTTGGATTGCTAAGAGAAACCGTAAAGGCTCGTCGAAACCTTTCGCTTCAAGCCAAAAATGAAAGCGAAAGAACCCCTCCACCTCTTAAGTTGATTGTGACATCTGCTACTCTTGACTCGGAAAAGTTTTGCTCGTATTTTGGAGATTGCCCAATGTTCAGCATTCCTGGAAGGACTTTTCCCGTTGAGGTTTTGTATTCAAGGGCTCCAGAGCCTGACTATATGGATGCAGCCCTTGTCACACTTCTTCAAATTCATTTAAGCGAACCCCCGGGCGATATTCTTCTGTTTCTCACGGGACAGGAAGAGATAGACACTGCCTGCGAGATTTTGTATGAAAGAACAAAATCTCTTGGTCCATCTGTTCCGGAACTCATTATTTTGCCTGTTTATTCTTCGTTACCATCCGAAATTCAAAGCCGCATTTTCGAGCCCGCACCAATTGGGGCGCGCAAGGCTGTCATTGCGACAAATATTGCAGAAACTTCGGTTACTATTGATGGCATTACATATGTCGTTGACCCAGGTATGGTTAAACAAAAGGTTTTCAATCCGAAACTCGGAATGGATTCGTTGGTAATTTCTCCCATATCTCAAGCCCAAGCGCGACAGAGAGCAGGACGTGCAGGACGTACAGGACCTGGAAAATGCTACAGGCTATACACGGAAAAGGCGTTCACCGAAGAGATGCTTCCTTCAACGGTGCCAGAAATCCAGAGGACCAATCTTTCTAATACCGTTTTAACTCTCAAAGCTATGGGAATCAACGATCTGATTAATTTTGGATTTATGGATCCGCCTCCCTTGGCCACGCTTACTGCTGCACTTCAGTTTTTATTTGACATTGGGGCACTTGATTCTGAGGGGTTCCTTACAAAGCTAGGCCGCAAGATGGCAGAATATCCTCTAGAGCCGCCTTTAGCGAAGCTACTTATAAAAGCCGTCGAACGCGGTTGCCCTCAAGAAGGGCTAACAATTGTGGCAATGTTATCGGTCCAGAACACCATTTTTTACAGGCCCAAAGAAAAGGCTGCCACGGCTGATGCCAGAAAAGCCTCGTTTCATCGGCCAGAGGGGGATCACATCACATTACTTGAAGTTTTCAATTCTTGGAAGGGTGCTGGATTTTCTTCTGATTGGTGTCGATTCAATTACATCAATCCAAGGGCAATGAAAAGATCCCTTGATATCAGGAAGCAGCTTCAAAGACTCGTAGATCGGGATGTTGCCATTGCGTCGAGAAGATACCCAGAATATCTTGGCGAGATAAAACAAAGAGACTCGTCCGTTCAAATCAAAGAGGCTTGCAAGGCAATTGCTGCGGGCTTTTTCACACACGTCGCACGTCGAGATGCTCATGAAGGAGGCTACAAGACACTTGTTGAGGGACAACCCGTCTTCATACATCCCTCCTCATCTCTGATTAACAGATCCCCAGAATGGGTCATCTACCACGAGCTAGTTTTCACCACAAAAGAGTATATGCGGGAGGTGATGGCAGTCGATCCACGATGGCTTGTAGAAGTGGCACCTACCTTTTTTAAATGCACAGATCCGAAAAAACTTTCTCGTCGACAGAAAGAAGAAAAGATATCCCCTCTTTACTCGAGATTCGAAAAACCGGACGAATGGAGAGTGTCTAAAAGGCAAAAGGCCCCGGCAAAGCCATCCCAACTGTTTGGAAGCAATTAAATTTAATTATTTCGAATGCAATTTAAATTTGAAGCTTTTAATTGCGGATAATTGGGAGATATTGTTACCAATTAAAATGGACCGCTAGCCACTGCTTTGCTTAAATAATCCTCGATTGGGTAAATGGGATTTCCTATGACGAGGGGTCACAGCAGCTATTTATATCTGGCGGTGTGGATGTTCACTCATTTTGATGATTTACAAGTTGCTTATTGCCATTTTTGTTCTTATTGCAGTTGTTTCTTCTGACACTCAAACGGGACCTGTCACGATGGAAGATATCGTTGCGCATGGATTTGTTCCATATGCGAACAAAAACCTCCCAGCCTGTGTCCTCACACTAAGCAAATACAATATGACTCTTGGCAGTTCTCTGATAGGATTCGGTCCTTCTTCTAAACTATCTGCACACATTATGACCTTAATGGAAGCTAATGCCGATCAAGCGGCTAAACAAAATTTCTGTAGAAACTTTGGTAGATGGCGAAAGGATGCTTTGAAGCACGTCGTCAAAGAAGATGCAAGCTCAACCGCTTCAACAGCCAAACTCCTTGGTCTTGGAGATGTTTTGTGCTCTGCTGGTTGTGTTGAAAAGGTTTCAACCGCTTTCGTTGTTATTTCTGCAATTGCCATGCTGATTATTTAAAGGTTCAAATAAAAAAGTGAATTAAAGCAATTTAGGGTTAACGTTCGGTCCGCCATTTTAGCTTGATCGCACTTTGTAGCATGATAGTTCACACACGGACGTGCCGTTTAGCATACTCAACCCTGCATGTTATCAAATGCAAAACGAGGGCAGGTCAAGTAGGCCGATATTAATGTATTTAATCAGGTGTTATAGCCCAAGATGGGCGTCGAAAATGGACCGGAACATATCGTGGGAAATCATCCGGGAGACGTGAACCTTTGTAGTCTGATCAAAGCGAACACAAAGTTTCGTAACATTTCGATTGACACGGTTTGTTCAGACTATGAAGACGGGCGGCATCGACCAGCATTATTGGAAAAGAAATATCCAGCTGTAAAAAACTTGAGTTTGTTTCTCAGCCAGAAACAAGATATTGAGGAAAAGGTTTTTGAAGCAAGCAACTCGGGAAACTTTGTGCTTTCTCTTGGCGGAGATCACTCGATTGCTTTTGGAACCGTTTCGGGCATGAAAAAAAAGCATCCCAACCTTGCTGTTGTATGGGTAGATGCCCATGCCGACATCAATACGCTTGCTTCTACAAACTCTGGAAATCTTCATGGATGCGCGGCTTCCTTTCTTCTTGGGTTGAACGAGGACACGGATTTTGGCAACCCAATGATGAAGGAAAAGTTAGATGCCAGCCAACTTGGATACATTGGCCTTAGAGACGTTGAGCAGTGCGAAAAAACCATTTTGTCAAAACTTCATATCCATCCCAATGCAGTTGCTTCGGCAATTGATGTCGAAAAGCATGGAATCCTTTCTTCGCTTCGAAAAGTTCTGCATAGCATTGATCCATCCAACTGCAGACCGATTCATCTGAGCTTTGATATCGATGCACTGGACCCCCTCGAAGCGCCAGCAACGGGAACCCCCGTTCCCGCTGGCCTATCGTTGAGAGAGGGGATCATTATATGTGAGGAGCTATATAATACAGGAAGACTGGTGTCCATGGACCTTGTTGAGGTCAACATATCGATTGCTCAAAATCAGCAAGAGGCCGAGAGGACAAAGTCTGCAGCGCAAGCCCTTATTTTATCTGCGCTTGGCCAAAAGTACTTGTGAGTATGGAAATTTTATTTTAACTATCGTTGGCGGCAATAAACTTTTCAACCTGGGCCGTAAATTCCTTCTTTAGAGCCTCGACCTTCAACGCATATGCCTACGAAAATTAATCAGACCAAGGGGAGAACCTCTTTTTCCATGTCGGAAAGGGAAGAATACATGCTAACGACATTGGAAAGCGAATCTTTGTTTCCCTTTGCAAAAAACTCGCGGACATACAGTCCATTTGGGGAGACGCACGGGCGAGTAGGCAGGGACTTGTATAGATCAACATACTCAACGGGCACCCAAGTGGTCTGTGATGTGGAGTCGCGGTTAACATCTGGATGGTTGTTAGACCTAAGGAGCGCATAAAGATCCCTTTTGAATGGAGAGAGACCCGAAAGCCATTTGTTCATTTCTTCCTTGTAGCTGACAAATGCAGCTTTATCTAGATATTGGCTTTTTTGCTGTTCAGACAAGCTGCGCCATTTGGAGGTAAGTTCGTGGAAATATTGGGCGTGAGTAAGATGTCCCGGGCGCTCGCCATAGTTTTCTTTGACGAAAAGGGGAAATCCAAATAGCGGCTTCTTTGGAATGCCAAGCTTTTCCCGATAAACTTGCTCCTCTAAAAGCGGAATTAGAAATATGGCAAACCAAATTTGTTGAACAGGCGAGTGTACGAGGCCTTTGAGGTCCTCGAAAGCATCGATCCGGTGCAGATGGACAATAATAAAGACATGGTGTTGTAAAATTAAATTACAAGATTGAAAGATTTAGGTTTCAGAATTGCATACAATTTCACCCTTCTAATCATTCGTATGTGCTCATTTAGTGGCAATCAACATGACCGCCAATATCGAGGAGATTTCACACAAGAATATAAAGCTAGTATTTTAGTTTCCGTGGAATTTTTATTTTAGGAGATACATGAGGAGGCACTCAAGGAGGCAGTTCAGGGTACGTTTCCCCCTTAACAAACGGCTAGCAATCTTGCATACCATATTCCTTCACCGCATCTTTTCGGCTGTCAAGATATCCAAGATCGTCACTTCACAGCTCCCAAATCTTCCATACATTGCCATCAAAGACCCGCATTTAGCCTCCTTCCTTACAAACGAGGCCGACAAATTTCTTTCCATATTCAAGTCAAATTTCCCTGCAGACTTTCATGAGCATTGCACATCGTCAAACATCTTTCCAGTAGGCTCGTCTACGCACCAACCAGCATGCATAGTAATCGTCTTGATTTGGATAACTTTAGATTAATGTGGAGTTCTTTGAAAAAGGAACCTACCCAAAAAGAGCCTTGTTTCTGTCTCGCCACGATGAAGGCCGCCTTTGGGAGCGGTGGACCATTGAGATTTCATTGAAAAAAGAGGCTTCAATGGGTATCGATTTTTGCGTTACTAGCAATTCTAGCATATGAATATGAGCTCCGAGAAATCCTTTTTCGGATATCGCTGCTGGCTAATGAGAACAGAGACTCGATTCCTCCAATATCATCACAGCTTGAAAATTCTTTCCCCTATAAAGTATTGCCGTCCTTTTAAACGCTAGATTTTCATGGCCCCAATCAAGGAGTCGTGGTTTCAAATTCTTCGAAGGCTGCTCTCAGAAACACCTACTTTTAATTATAACTAATAAAATATTCTGAATAAGAATAATTAGTTTATTTGGCCATCAACACACATACATCTATCGCGCATCAAACAGAATTGCTATGCATTAACATTGCACACCATACCTCGAGACGTTCTTTTTTTGTACATAATGCGGTATCCGCATTCTTTGCATCTAATGGCATCTTTGGGGCGAAGCTCGTTTTCAACACAGCACTCTAAAATAAAGGAACCAAGGATACCGCCACAAATATATTTCATCGGGGGAGCCATTAAATTGGGTCTAGCTGATGAGTGGGAAATCGGACCCGCAGCCTGATCTGGGAAAGAAGATGGGGGGTTATTCATAAATAAAAAATTTCCAATTTGAAGATTTAATGTCATGCAAAATTTATTTCTTTGTTTCACGTTTTGCAACAGAAAACATCTAAATGGGGTGTCACGATTCTTCTGGAGTATGAAATATTCGATTTCTCACATAGGCTTTTGTTAATTGGGAAACGTCTGTGGATTACGTATTCTTCAAGTGGTGGAATGCAAGTTCGCAAACTGCTTTTTGGGCCACGTTTTGGGCGTTATTCTTCATCACGATAGTTAGCGAATTTCTATATTTCTATCACCTGTGGTATTTGGGCAAACCCAAAAAGCAGCAATCATCAATATCCTCATCCAAGTTTTCAAAATCATTTATAAAGGCCGTTATTTATGCAGTTAGAGCATATGTTTCCTACTTTTTGATGATGGTATTTATGACATTTAATGGCTTTTTCATGAGCTCCATCATTGCAGGCTTTTTTGTGGGGCATTTCATTTTCAGCTTTTTGATTCCAGAAAATGAGGCAGACTCCACAATTCACCCACCTTGTCCATGCTGTTAGAATCGATCGAATAAACAATTTACAAATGAAATTGTTAACTTTCCGTCCAAATATGGAAATGTTTAAGTTTCAATATGGAATGTTTTTCATTATCGATAGATCAATATCCGCTTTTGGAGCGGCATTAAATTGCTTGTGTTTACGTAGAGCCTTTTTGTACCGTGAAGAATATAAAATTGAGCAACGAAAAGGGGACTACTCTTGCAAAGGAGAAGAATCATGAAAAGAACCATGAAAAGAATCATGAGCTAGCAAAGGAAAATGCAAGACTTAAACAAGAAGTAGTAAAGTTCCAAAGGCTATCAACAAAGCTATGGCTACAACATGCAAAGGATCGGATTGATTTGAGAAAAGTCTGGAAAGACGGATGGAAACAAGGCTACAAGCGGAGAGTGGATGAAAGCAAAATGCCAGCGCCCAACAGCCCCCTGACACCCAAGATGAAGACAAATCAAAAGATAGAGGAAAAGCTCAAGTTTTTAACTTCAAGCAGGCTTTTCAAGCAACAAAGATCAATCAAAGATCTAATTGCTGGCCTGCATATTGCCACAAACGATTAAATTTAAAATAAAATAATGTTTTTAAATCTCTCGATGATCATTGGGGTGTTCTTTGCTCTAGCTATTCTTGTGCAATTTGTTATCAATTCAGCCTCTGCATCGATAGTCAAGTTTACCATCCCATCAAATAGCAAAAAATGCTATTCAATCGAAATCCCCGATAAGACTCTTGTTACCGGACACATATCATCGCGAACTACCACGGTTAACCAAAATGACGGAAGCAGGCAGGCTGCAATAGTATCCTTCATCGTAAAGCAATCCTTTGATTCAAAATAGATTGATGATAGGCAAGGTGGAAAATATTATCACAATACCAATATAAAGGAGGAACCATCCAACTTTTCCTTCAGGACGCACGGCGGGGCCAAAGAGTATCAGCTTTGCGTGGCAACTGACCATTTTACAACGTGTAAGCTTTTGCCATTGTAATGGTAAGATTTGTCGTCTAGGCTAACTAATGACATCGAGCTGGAGGTAAACATGAACGAAGATCTCTTTGACGCCACTGCTTCGCATGATTCCGCGCTGTTGCCGGAAGAGGCAGAGCTCATCCATATGGAGTCTGTTATGAAGCATATTGTCGATGAATTGGACCAGATGCATTTTACGGAAAGAGACTTGCGCGATACCAATGGTTAGTGGCCCACATGTCGTTACCATTTAGAATCGACAAACGATAGAGTCAAGTATTTGGGCATACTCTCATTTTTGCTGCTAAACGGCTGTGCTTTTGGGCAATTTATTTTTATGCGCAAGTATTTGAAGTCTAAAAAAGTAATCTAAGACAACTGCCAAAAGCACCTGAAGAACATCCTGTGGCCCCATGCATAATAAACACTTTGAAGCAGAGCGTACATTGTTGCATCCAGTTAATACAATTTAATCCCATCAATGGGCAGAGGCACTGGTGCGGGTTTAAGCATTTACTTTAGTTAACTTCTTCTGGCCCCAGAACCAAAACCTTAGACTCCCTAAGGGTCCTCAAAATGATTTCAGAAACACTGAGAATCGAATTCGAATGATAATACGCTATCAGCTCCACCATTTGCATCCTAATATATTCCAGGCTGTCAACGTGCAGCTTTGCTGTTTCGTGGAGATTGCTGTATATTTTTTGAATGATTTCTTTGCAGGCTTTCAGATCGATATTGAGCAGCTTTTCGGAAATTGCCGAAATGGCGTCTCTCCGCTTTTGAGGGACATTCTTTAGCAATTTCCGCAATACATTTGTGTACATAGACTTTTTGGATTCCAGTTTCCAGTGATATGCAATAGGAAGCTCAAAATGGGGGTGAATGGGGAGCAAGTTATCATCGATACGATATCCATATGTTTCCAAGGATATCGTATGGTGAAAAGACCCGAGCGAAAATTCATAGTCAATGTTCTTTATCACAAGCCTACGCTTTTTCTGGCAAAATGTCAACACAAAATTTCGGGAGTGGTACCCATTTGCTCGAAACAAAATACTAAACACGGCGATTTCGTCCAATTCACTTGCGCCAATAAATTCGTTGTAGACTTCATTTACAAGAAATGCTTCATCAGCTGAATGGCGAGGAATATATTTCGTTGTCAATCCCAAAAGTAGAGCCATGGAGCAGTAAGTATTTCCTGTATCTGTCCGCGAATACAGAATGTTTCCAAAGATTGTGTATTTTGTGGGAAGTGAATCAACGCCCCCTGTTTCTGCATCAAGAGAAAAAATACTCTTATACACAGATAGCGATCCGCCCATTTTGGACGACTTTTCAGTAACATAAAGATAAGGCACAATGAAGCCATCTAGGCCAGATTTTATCGCCAGCTCATAAACAACCTGATCTACCAAAGCGCGCTTTTTTTCTTTCTCTGTGTTAGATTGCTTATAAGAAAGGAGAGGTATGTTTCCTATGCCAAAGAATATACTTTTGCCAATCAGTTTAGATTGCCATCCACGCTCTTTGGCCTCAAGTATAGCCTTCAACAGTTTTTTTATTTCCGGAGCAATTGACCAGTCATTGGATTCTTCGCTGAGGATAGATCGAGCCAGGACTGGAGGTTCCAGCCCGTCGAGTAATTGTTGAAATGTATGTAAAGAGTCTTGAGAATTCATATTCATGAAAGTTAGCTTTGCAAGCTCTTTTGGATCTGAATAGGACTTTGGAAAGGCCTGTAAGCATGCGGGATAGTCTTTTCTAAATGCCCGATATGTGTCATATCGAATGTCTCCGTCATAGAGCTCGATTACATGCTCATTTCTAAATACTATGAAAGCTTTTAAAGCGTCTTTGGAAAAGGGCTTGAGCCTACATAGGCGAAGATCAAATAAACTGGTAACAATTAAAGGATCAGATTTGGCTAAAATTTTCAAGTCTCCGCTAATTAATTCTTTTAAAGCGTTTGACATTTGAGGATCTACCATTTGTAGACCCGATAAAAAGCCTTCGGCCGTCACTTCCTCATCGGCAACGGAGATTAGATAGCGTTTTAAGGCACTTTGTGTTGTCTCCAAAAGCTCAAATATGCTGTCTCTTTGGCTGTGATGTTGGTAACTGTGCCCAACACTAGTCCAATCCGAGGATCGAGTAATGGAGTTTACAGATGTGTCAAGTTTTCTTTGGTAATAAAACGTCTTATGCACTAATAGCTCTCCATATACATCAATTGCTTGCAATATAAATAGCACAAAGAAGGTCTTCAGAAACATCGACCATTTTGGTGTTTATTTTTTGGATATTTATATCATCTCTGTTTTGGCAACAATGTGTGATTAAATATTTGAATCTGATGTTGGATTCCAATTTTTCCACACTATTGAAAACAGGTACATGCTATTTTATACTCTTTTTGTGATTGCTTTGTCAGTTTCGGGATCACTTGCAAGTAAATCCGCTGTGCTCAGATCGACATATCCGAAGAATGAAATCGATCCAGAATTTTGTCTTCAAAGGACGGAGGGATATTACTGCCATCCAAGCCATGCTGAAAATATAATCAGCTGCCCCGATAATACGCTAAAGCCGTGCCCAAATGGAAGAAGCTGCTCTTCGATTGGAAAAGTTCCCAGTTGTTATTTTTGCGAGACCCCGATTGATTTTGACTTGTTTTGCAAAGAAAGGGTAATGCGTGTCGTGTAATTTTAGGTTGGCGGTTTATTTTGTCTGCCTCCCACTAACGGTGCCTTCAAGCATGTTGTCGAGTGCAGCGGCTATAAATTCATTCGACTGATCGAATGTCCTGAAGGATCGGTTTGCTATAGTCCACCAGGCAAATTCATGCAAGCAATGTGTCTGATTGGGGAAGACTCATTTTGCTCCCATGCTCGATCCGCCGAAAGATTTCCGGCCTCTTTAACGTTGGAGTCGATAGGCTCCATATTGGCGAAGCCAACAAAATCTATTGGCCGAAACGATATGAACAGGATTTCGACATTGAACACGGATAACCAAATAATTACACCTACATCTTCAAATTGCGATAAATATACTGCCACCGTTACGGCAACACTAACAATCACAATGGCAGAATAAAATTTGCAATCTAGTCGTGCTTTGGAAACGCTAACTCTGCATCCAATAAAATTTTCACCCATTCCAATGTGGCTCCAATTTTTAATTTTAATGTTGGAAAATGGTATATTGCAATTTCTACTGAAGCTGTCTCATTGCATCTCACTTATACCTCCAAACGCATCGAAGAAGAGGTTCATGGACGTCTATCACGAGAATCCGATGTATGTCCACTCGATTATTAACATTCACAACATGTCCAAGGAAATCAAGCAGAGTGCAAACATTGAGCTTCAAATTTTGTCTCTCTTTTCGGACTTTAGGTATTTCTCATTGCTCGAGCCTTTGAAGTATTTGAATCCACTGTTACAGGTACGCGTTTTGCCTGTTTATTCGACTAGAATTTACTCGAAAATCTTTCTTGCGTCTGGTCTTCCCAGACGCTTTGGTTGCCCATCACTAGCATGGGAATATCTAATGCCGAACATCTTGTTAAGCTTTTAGAGAAAGTGGCTTGCCATGCCAAATTAAACTGCAATTCTGAAGAGCATTTGGCCTTTCTATCGGTTTTGGTAAAATTAGGTTGATTTTAGCTTCATTATATGTTTAGCCTCAATAGAGCCTTTCCCGATCTTATTGCAAGAGTGTCCCGGCATTATTTCGTTTTTATCTGAAAGAAATGTTTCTAATTCTGCGTCTTATTTTCTTTCGCTCGAGTTTATCTCAGTAACGCTGGAAAATAGCCATATCGAGACAAAATCTTTGTCAGCCGCTTCGGAATTATTGACATTGTCACTTCCGTTTGTCATAAGTTGCTACACTTTGTCAACACAAGATATGCCGGAATCGCCAACAACATCTTATAGATCTTTATTGGCGGTGCTAAAGTACTTTATCACCCACAAAAAGGAACGCTTTTTTGCCGAAAGTTTTTTCCCCTTGTCGAAAGAAAAGTTTGTAAAGTGCACTGCGAAGCTTTTGGGGCATTTTGATTTGGCTACCCATAGCGGTGCACTTGTTATTCTAGCCAACATATTTTCCAACTCGACCCTGTTTTTGGTATTCGCTTAAATTTTTGATCATGTAGGAGAAGGATGTCCAAGATAGTAGTCAATATGAACAGCTGTTGCTGGTTTCTACTTGCTTATTTTTCAATTCGCTTGCAATGCAAGATCAATTATCCGAAAAATATGCCATTCAAAAGAATATCCGAAGCTTCTTCAAATCGTTTTTGCCGTTATTTTCATCAAAAGATTCCCCGGTCTTTTTCGAAATTTTGCAAAAGTTATCCCCGTTGATGAATCGATTGCTGGATGAGCTAATTGCCACCGAAGCGTCAGAAGATAACAATTTTTATATCATTTCCATGCTAATGGTCTGTTTAACGTCAGTGGTGTTTCCAGAGCAACAAATCACTCCCATCATCACTAGGATGAAGGAAAAGACCTTTTTGCTGCAATTCAAAAAAAAGTGTTCGCACATTTTTCGCAATCAGGCCTTCTTTCGTGAGTTTTTTGACTGCATTGTTAGTACAAAGGGTCAATTTGTGGTGTTGATTTTTCCCGCAGTATTCCATTCGGTCGTTGAAATCATACGTGATAATCTGCCTTTGACTCCATTCTCTTTTGGACGTGATTTGTTGGAAGAGCGCTGCTTTTTGAGGATGAATTCTCCATTTTCTCTTTATTGCCAAGCTGAGGATAGTATGTTTTCTAAGGCTTTCAAGGTGTTGTTCTCCGCAATTTCTTGCATTTCGATCGAGCCCGCTTGTTTGGAAACGTTTTTTCAATTGATTGCAGATGCTATCAAGAAAATATGCTTCGAAACGTGCTCCACTGCGTTTTTCCAATTTAAATCGATTTCTTCCCAACTTGAATTGGCCGCTAGACCTTTGAACGGTTCACTTTTGGCCCAATTTTGTCAGTACCTCAATTCCTTTTACTCTTCGTTCATTATTTCATATCTCTTTTTGCGCTCCCTTCATTTAGCTTTACAAGAGTATTTTCTTTCCATGTCTAGCGATGAGAATTCCCGCTTGCTTTTTGAAGATCCGGCTGCATATTCGCCATTTTCCTCGCTCAAATTTGGCCTCCAGAAAATTGAAAATTTACTTTTGCTGGAGCAATATCACGTACTGAAGCACTTTTGCCCAAAATCTTTGCTAACCAATGTCGGGATGCTTGAGCCAAAATTGCTTGACTTTGCAGAAATTATCTTCAACAACATCGAGATAATCGATTTGAGTTCGCTTGATGACAATACACTTCAAAGCATCAATTACATTGAAGTTGTTGACCAGCTAAAGGGCCAGTTGAGGAATAGCAAGAGCGTTATAGACCAACTTTCTTCAGAACTCGACAAAAAAACTGTAAATATGGTATCTTTGGAACAAAATCTAATTGAGCACCAAAGTTTGGTATGCAATTTATCTGCCCAAAACGAAGCGTCAGCCAATCTTCTGGAAGAAAATTCGATTCTAATTTCTGATTTAAGAAGCGAGCTTAAACAAAAAGAACTCATGATCGGGTCTTCTGATGTAGAATTGGCAGGGCTAGAGGAAAAAGTTTGTTCGCTACAATCCCTCAATAGAGATCTTGTCGAAGAATTGGAAAAAATTATTTCTGCCAAAGAATGTCTTGGCAATGAACTGGAAAAGATCGTCTCTGAAAAGGAATGTCTTGGCAATCAATTGGAAAAGGTAGTGTCTGAAAAGCAATTTCTTATCAATCAATTCGAAGCGGAGAAAAATAATCTTCTTAATGAATTTACGCTTAAATTGGAAGAAAAGTCCGCCTTTATATCCAATTTAGAAAAGGAGCTTGAAAGAAGCATTTGTGAAAACCGTGCTTTAACGTCTCAGCATGAAGCTCATCTTGAAGCCTTTTTAAGCGAAAAATCTTCCAACGAAAATTTATTTTCTGTTGAAATTGGCCAAATCTCCTCCGAATGTGACGACTTGAAGGTGAAAATATCACATCTTGAACGCAAAGTCTTGTTGAAAGAGGAAGCCATAGTTGAACTGAAGGCATTGGATGAAAGTCACCAATCAGAGGTACGCGTGATATAATTATCTGACCAAATAGCTGCTATTTTGCAAGAATGCATTGTCCAATCTCCAAAATGAGCTTGGTATTCAGAAAATTGGGTACCAAGATCAAGAGAGGTTATTGTCCATATGTCAAGCAGAAGTAGGCATAAGTAATTCTAATGTATAGTGTGATGACCAGAAAATAAAGCTGCTGGAATTGGAGAAAACCGCCGCCACTTTTGAGGAAAAGGCAAACGAGTTGCAAAATTTGCTTGAAAAGGAACGCGAAATCACCGGCATGATTCAAGGCATAGCAGCCAAGATTTGTTCAAAGTGAAATTAAGTACACCCATTTTGAACGGCCAGATTTACACTTGTACATTTACTGGTCCAAATATTTATTCATTTGTTAGCATCTGCATACGATAAGAGCGACTTTTTTAAAAGCTTTGTAATAAAATTTGCCTGTTCTCTGACTGCAGAATCAATTTTTTGAAATTCATTTTTTTGAAGTGCGCCCATCCCATATATGGAGGCATACTTACAAAGGGTGGGGGCATAGGTCACGTTTATGGAGTTTTGGAAGCCCTCCAACTTGATGCCACCCTTTGATGCGGAATTAGAGATCGAGAGGCCGATGAGCAAATCGAGCATTTGGACCTGTGACTGGGATAATGCGGCGCTACATGCAACCGTGGCAGCCATCAATACATCACCATGATCGCCCAATATATGTACATCAAGCTCAATCGCCATTCTAGGATGCCTATCTAGCATTATCACGGACTCGAACGAGACTTTCAAAATGTCTTGTAAAATGGATGAGCACAGCTTGGTCTTTTGAATCGCTTCGGGCGTCATTGCCTCAAAGCAAACGGCGGAGGGCAACACGCGTACCCTTAAAACAGCTCTTGATGCTTCTTGTTGTGATTTGGGCAGAGGATATGGTCCATTGACCGTAGCAATCACTTTGGTATTGCCATGTTCAACCAGACAAGATCCAACGGGCGAAGGAAGAGCTCCTAAAGGATCAGGGCATCAAACCGGTACCTGTGAGGATGTTAAAGGGCTCCGTAATATTATTGGTAGCATTAGCTATTTTCCCACCAACTGCGTCTGCCACTTTTAGCGGGAGTGGAGGCACACTATATTCAGGAGCGCCAAAGAACTCCAGCATGAGACCAAAAATTTATATTTTATTTTCGCAACTAATTTACTTTTTTAGTTGAAGACAATATCCAGTCCAAATATGGCTGATGTGCATGAGTAATTGGAACCCCAATGATTTCAGGTACCTCATATTCATGCAACTTCAGTATGTTGTCCCTGACTTGGGGGAAAAGTTCTTCCCCCGTTTTGATGAATAAAAGTTGTTCTTCGGACTCTTGTATTTTGTTTTCCCATTGATAAACAGATTTGATGCCCGGAACGATGTTAACACATGCAACAAGCTTGGACTCAACAAGGCTTTTCGATATTTTCATAGCGCTCAGTGCATTTGGAACGGTGCACCAAATAATCATTGCCATTGATGGGTTTTTAAATTTAATTTTGTTCACTTGCGTGTCACTGTTATTTAGGGAAGCAATAGTTCCCTCATAAACCTTAAATACATCCAAAAGAATTTCCGCTCAATCATGTGGTTTCGGCATGAAAAACAGACCTCCCATCAAAAGCGGTAAGGCTAGAAGAATGCAAAGCATTGGATTTCTTAACACAGCGTCCATGAGAAGAGCTCTTCAAACGGCCAAAGGAAGATCCAAAAATACCAAAGTTTACGCTGCCTTTGGTGTTGTGTTTTGTGTTACGCTCAACATTGCGGTACGCAATCAGATAACTTGTCAAGTTGCTTAAAAATTGCCTCTTTTTTGCGAACCATCGGCTGGTCATTTGGATTAAAATACAGTGTACACGATATGATTTATTGACAGCCAAAATCGTAACAATTGTCAATTTATTCGATGAGCTTTCCAGGGATTTCGCTTTCACGGAAAATAAATACCATCTAAAGGTCAGAAGCAAAGTGGTACCTCATCACCGAGCTTAACTTGAGTGCCGCCGTATGTTGGAAGGACCACTTTATCGCCAGGAACTAGGACCATTTTGTAATCCTACCAAAGTTAGACGAGCGCAAAAGCAACCTTGTCTCCAGGTCCAACAGCAACAACCTCGCCGTGGCTAATGGATTCTTGGCTCTTTTCAGGGATTAAGATGCCAGACGCTGTCTTTTCCAGGGCCTTGGGCTTGCGAATCACAACACGGTCCAGAAGGGGCAGAATGCGTTTACCAATCAACTGAAAGTCAATACATATAACATGGACGTACAGAATTGGCCAAGTTCATTTACGGAGATAACAAATTCAAAGAAAAATCCAGAAACTGCCGTAAAATGCAATTTCAAAGTTGAAAGCTGAATTGCATTTTATTCGGTACTATAAAGAATGGACATAACGAGGCCGGTTAGCTTTTCTTTTGATATGTCGCTTTCGGTTGATTCCCGCTGAAGTAAAATTTCAATTTCACGGAGCTTGTTGAAATAAAAATCTCTTTCTCGCTCCATATTTTCCGAATTAAGCTTTAACTCGGCCGTCAACTGTGTCAGGTCGGCAACCTGCTGTGCTAGGTCGCTCATTTTCCCGGCATTATTGACTGAGCAGGGATTAAGAGCAACAGACTTGGGTGCAACAGTAGCTACTCAATTATACAAAATATCGCGTACTCCGAAAGGCTCTGTGCTCGCCGCCAGAATTTCGATTTGACGCCACAGGCCTGTCCGAAATATGGAAAATCGGGGCGTTGGAGCATGAGCTCCTTCTAGCAACAGGATCGTAGCTTTGGTTTTGGAAATATGAATCCCAATATTTTTTTATCCATTGGCAAAATTCCTAATCACCGTAAGCCTGCTGCGAATTACCAAATTGTCCTGAAATCGCATCTTGATCAGCCTTTCCACAGGTATTGCCTAGCCAGTAAAAATGAATAAGGGACACACATTCAAGATGTTATGCTTGGTGAAGGAGAGCTGAAGAATTTTAAAGTTTTGAATGTACATAAACTCTTGATTGGCGTCGAATTTCACCTTGTGCAAGGGAACATCCCCTTTGGTGAGAAAAAAGAACGGTACCATATATGGAATCCATGATCTGGCAATAGACCGCCCCGGTGCCCAGTTGCTCTATTTTGGTAACGTTCAATGACAACAAATCATTGATCCATTGAATCAGGTCATTGCGGCTTTCATTCATATTGTGCAGTATAAAAAATCGCCATTTAAAATTTACATGAAATTTAATAACTAATCCAGAACATAGGGGAGCGACATCAGGTAGCCGATGAACGGCCGCTTAAGCAGATTTAACATACAGGACATTGTTGCATCTAATGTCAACATGAAAAAAGAAATACCTGATCATAACGTCTCCGAGCATTGTGGAGCTTTCTGGCTCGGTTGCAACATCAGCACCGGGCACCTGTTCGTGCGTATTTTGGAGCTGTAGGTTCATGTATGAATCGATGGAGATCAGGGTCCCCTTGTACGAGTGGCCCCATTTCGTCTTCACAAGAACCATGTGTCCAGCCAAACTGTTTAAAAACGGCTTTGGATTGACAGAATTCATTTTGAAATAAAAAAATCAACTTTATAAATTGAAAATCATCCCGCCTTTAATCAATTTAGCGCAAACTAAATTGCATCAATCAACACCACATAAGTATAAATAGAGAATGCATCGAGCCATTTTGCAGAAGGTTTCAAATCGGAATCGCCTCTTTTTTTCGATGTCATCGTCACCAATTCCTCTTCACCAAGGGTTTATTACCGGATATTTTTGCGATAAGCCCACGTCGGGACCATCTGCAGGGACGCCTGATATTTCCGTTTCATCAACGACTCTATCCACCGAAGCCAAGGGCTCGATCAAAACCCTGCTTGAAAAAACCAATGCTGAAGGAAAGAAAGATGAACGTCGGATCCTCTACAATATTGACTCGTCGCTTCCATTCCAACTTGCGGCAATTTCCCTTGGAAACTCTTCAACCCCCCGTTCTCTTTACGAGAAAAGAGAATCTGTTCGTAAGGCGGCGGCAAATGGAGTAAGATTGCTTTCAAGCCAGGGCGTCAAGGAGTACATTCTTGATACCTTTTCGGATTCTCAAGCTGCAGTCGAAGGCGCCATCCTTTCGTCTTATTCTTACCTCAAGTTTTCCGAGAACTGCAAATCTCTGTCGTTTAAAATGGCTCCTGTGTGCACTGCCAATGATATCCAATCGTTTAAACGTGGCTTCATTATGGCGTCTGCTCAGAACGTTACACGATACTTGGCCGACACGCCGGCAAATATTTGCACGCCCTCGAAATTTGTGGAAGTGATACAAAAATTTGCACAAGAGCATCTGTCGCACATTTCTTCGCATGTAAAAATAGAAGCCAAAGATGCATCATGGGCCAAGGAGCAGGGAATGAATTCCTTTCTCTCTGTATCCCAGGGATCAGCAGAACCCTGCAAGTTCTTAATAATGGAGTACCAAGGCCGAGATGCAAATGGCCTTTCATCTGCAGATGAATCTCCCATCGGGTTAGTGGGAAAGGGAGTAACCTTTGATGCTGGAGGTATTTCTCTCAAGCCGGCCGCCAACATGGCCAACATGAAAGCAGACATGCAGGGGGCTGCAATTATGGCGACCTCGTTCATTACGGCTGCCTTCTGTAAGCTGCCTATTAATCTTGTTGCTGTGATTCCATTGACTGAAAATCTGCCTTCCGGCACAGCCACCAAGCCTGGAGACGTCATCACTGCCAGCAATGGGAAGACCATCGAGGTATGATGATATACACATTTGCTTACCAAAGATTGACAATACCGATGCGGAGGGTAGGCTAATTTTGGCCGACGCGCTGGTGTTCATCAAAAAATATTCGCCATCCGTTATTATTGACGCTGCTACGTTGACAGGCGCCATTGGCGTTGCTCTTGGATCGGCCACTTCAGCCATCTTTTCCACCTGCGACAATTTGTTCAAAGAGATGGAGGAGGCCGGATATTCCTCTGGTGATCGCATATGGCGAATGCCTTTGTGGGACGACTATCGCCCACTAATGGACTCTTCCGTTGCTGACATCAAGAACGCCTCTAGCTTGCGCGGTGGCGGAGCCTGTACGGCCGCTGCATTTCTGAAAGAATTTGTTGACGATGGGCAGGTCTGGGCCCATCTGGACATTGCAGGAACAATGCAAGTGTCTTCTGAAGATGGCGTTCTTTCAAAGGGAATGAGTGGCCGCCCCATTCGTATGCTGCTATATTGGCTGTTAGAGCGATCTAAAGCCACATTGGCAAGGTTTGCTTTACTCCTGTTTAACTGTAGCTCTGGATCGAGCCTCGAGACGCTCTTGCTGTCGCTGCCAGAGGATAAGATATCTGCCTTTTGCAGACATTTCCCTCAGTATTAGTGCTTTAAATTTATTTGCAATAAACGTTTGATCTTTTGACATGCTGTAAGATGGGCTTGACATACCGCTTCTCGCCGTTGACGAGAATCGGCCATATGGGATCCGCATTTTCAACTTCGTTAAGGCTCATCCTGGCCAGTCCGATCGATCCCAGCAAAGACACCAATCTTCCTCCTTTGAACTCGATGGGAGAAGAAAATGCATTGTAACATTTGCTGGGCTCTCCATTTAAATATATACACAAGTCATGATCGCAAAGCGAAGCTGGTACTGACAATTCGTGTGCCGGATCAGAGAGAAGCTTTACGGGAATGTATCTTCGCCGAATGACCCCCTGATGTTTGGTCCGGATGGTCAGCTCTTGCCCCAAGTAGCATCCCTTGTGGAAATCAACTAGGCGTTACATAAAACCATCGGAAACCTACTAAAGTTGAAAACATCCAAATTGCATTCAAAGGGCAAGGAAGAGCCAGAAACCATGTCAAACGGAAGTTCTGGACAGCCCAATAGAATCCTCTTTAGCGAATAAACGGCATCAAATGCAAGGCCTTTTGAACTAGAGTCTTCACAACGAGGCATTTGATTGTTGATATCTAGAGAAGCCATCTTTCGCATGATTCCCCGATATCCCAGTAACGGAGATCGAGGATCCTCAAATAGGGCTTGCGGATTTTCGTTTGTCTGCGACACAAACACCGAATATTGGGGAGAAATATTCTCAATCTTGACCTCCTGACGCAAAATATACGAGTTCAGGTGGGCCAACAATGGCAGCTCTGTCGATCGGTGAATATCAAGTAAAAAAGCGCCATCCCCAATGTATGCTTCACAGTGTGGCAAGGGTCTATATAGAATTCCATCAAACAATATGCGCCCCTAACGGAGAATTCAAACGTGGTATGTTACTTTTGCATTCAGAAAGGCAACCGCTAATGAATGTATGCCTTTTGGAGAAAATTTGAGAACATTGTTCGTAATCAGATTCTGCAAATATCGATCCAAAAAGTCCCCACACTTTTTCGATGATGGAGACAATGACAAAATTGCACGATCTGCTAGCGGTTTTGGGAAAATTCCCATCAAACAATAATTTAAACTTTTATTTTCACTTTGGTTTTGTTTTTCATTTTCACTTTCATTTTCTTTTTTAAAATGGATCAATCGGAAAGGGAAACTGCAAAGCTTTGGAGGGTTCATAAAACGATCCACCATATGGTCCATGACAGGGGATACATAGTAAGCCAATCCGAGTTGGACATGTCTTTACAAGATTTCACACACACCTTTGGCCGTGGAGGGATCGTCACAGAGTATGCATTGAAGCTGTTTACTTACTTTAGCCGTTCGGCCTTGACATTTTTGGTGCAAAAAAAAGAGAATTCATCGGATCAACTGTTTATCTTTTTCCCAGACGACCTTTCTGTTGGTGTAAAGCCGATCCGCATATATTGCGAAAAGATGGTTGAACAGGGTGTCTTCAAGGCCATCATCATTTACAGAAATTCGCTGACGCCCTCTGCCGAAAAGGTGATGCAGCAAATGGCGCCCAAATACATTCTCGAGCAGTTTAAAGAGACAGAGCTCCTTGTAAACATTACTGAGCATCAATTGGTTCCCCCTCATATTCTTCTCAACGATGACGAAAGAAAAGAGCTTTTGGACAAATAGTAAGCCTGATTATTTTAACGTCCAGCCGCCTCAAAGATACCCAGCTCCCTCGCATCTTGTCTTCGGACCCGGTCTCAAGATACTATGGGTTTAGAAGGGGCCAAGTTATTAAAATTATTCGCACCTCCGAGACAGCAGGCCGCTACGTTACTTACCGACTGGTGGTGTAACGCGAGTTCAATAAATTTTATTTTTTAGTCTAAAATGATTATGCCACATAGTTTGAGGGAAACACGCCCTGACAGTCGTTGCAGCGACCTATGAAAAGAAGCCAAAGAATTACCAAGCCACCAGCCATCGTCAAACTTTTCGAGCACCTGGATCTGGTCCCCAATGAGAAAGGACAATTCGTCTGCTTCCACAGGACTATAGGAGTACATGGCTTTGACTAGTAGAAATGACTCGGCTATTTTTCCAATACCAGTTTCCAGAATAGGAAATTCCTTGTATACATCCAAGTAATTGAATGGGACGAAGCCGGTCACATTGTCGGACATTCTTGAAACCTAAAGTCAACGAGGCTGCAAGGGAACCTTGATCCATCCGTTATCTAAAACCCCATCAACAATGAGCAGCACATCTGAAAGTGAAATGGAAACTTCTTCGGGGTCATCGGAGGCAAATGCAAATTTTGCCTTCACCGCCTTACCCTTGAGGTCATGGTAGGAATTTAGCTCATTAGTGTTGACTGGAAAATGGGCGGTGGAGCCCAGCTTTTTCTTTGAAGAGGAATTCGATGTGATGGAGGAGTTGGTAACTCGGCCGCAATAATCGAGAATCTTTGGTTGACATTTAAAATGGCACACATATCCACAGTCTTTGGCAAAATGAAAGGCCATTCTTACCTTCGCAAATGTATCCAGTGCTCCTGGACAGTCCCCAAATCGAGCTCAGGCAAAAGTTACATTGGGCAGAAGAGGCAAATGACGATGCTTTAAAAAGATGTGCTTTCCCCTGATCAAGAGAAGCTAGCAATCAATAAACGTGAAAAGACCGATCCTACCATTTCCCAGGTAACTCTTTAGGTGATCTATTTGGTTTTCGTTGGCCGAAATGGACATAATATTGGACAGGTACTGCCTTTTGATATCAAACCATGACTAAGGTGTCATCATATGCGAACGAAATTACCAAGTATATTTGGTCATAATCGGAGCTTTTGGTTGCGCCGCTCTTATAGGCAGCTTTCAGGGCATTGAGGCCCTGGATCTCCTTTTGTCGATTCTGCAGCGACTCCTGCGATTCTTGCAACTTTGGTAGCACTTGAGAGTACAAGTTCATCAAATATGGCCGGATGTCAACTTGTGTGGAAAGAAGCTCCTGAGCGTTACAAAGACCAAAATACCGAGTCCGTCGGGTCATAGTTATTTACAAATGTAAGTTTGGAATCCATTTCCATATCCAGGACAGAGTAGTCGGTTTCCTTGACCAGCTTCATGGCGTTGCACTTTTCGCTAATCTTTGCCCAGCATTCTACCGATTTCTTCGATGAGCAAGCCAATGCTTCGGAAATGGTGATCCACAGGCTCTGCATTTTCAGAATCCTTACGTCGATGCCCTCCGAGATCCACTGCTATCAGATGGATTAAAACGAACCTCTTCAATCTCAGGCAGATACGTCTTCACCAAGAACTGGAGCGATGCATTTGCTGCCGAATTTCCCAAGACATAATTTATTTTCTTAAGTTGCGAGTCGTAGGCGAGATCCTGTATTTTCTACACATAAACATACATGGGGAGGTGGGGCATACCTTTTCCATTTTGACAGAGGGCTCTCCAGTCGAATTTTCGGCCTTGTTCAGCGAAAGATACGAGTCTATATATCTTGTTCTATTCTACAATCATAAGAACGTCGATCACAGACCTTGTCGCAATCCGCAATTTGCTTTTCGCAAAGGCCGATCAAGTCGTGTTGAAATTGAGTAAATTTTCGGAAAAGATCGTCCTGCTGTTTGTGAAATCTTTTAATAGATTCGAAAGTGGGGTTTATCTCATCCTCCAAAGCCTTTTGCATCTCTTTAGCGGTGGACAATAGCTCGGCTATGATAAAACGCCACACCGAAAACCAAGATCTATAGAATCAAAAATGGGACAAAACTCTGAAGCAGAATCATACGCCTTTCTTTGGTCAATGCGAGTGGAATGTTTCTTTACAAGCGTATCAAGGTTTTTCACATGATCCCTTTCCAGTGAGCAATAGTCCTTGAAAAACTCTTTAATGTCCCTTAAAAGGTCCAACTCGTTCTGGACTATATGTTCACGGCGTTTCAGCTCATCCTAGTAACCATTTATGCCAATAGATCGCACCTTCAGATTGTCGAATTGAACCATAAACAAATGAAAATAGATTGCACGTCCATTTAAATTTTAGTGCCACTTAAATTGCCTGAAATTTTGGGTATCCTTTATTGGGGAGCCGTCTTAAGCGAATCCACAAGTGCAATGTATTTTTTTTGTGCGTCCTCCTTTGACAGTTCTACAATTTGATTTAGCCATAACCATGAAAACCTCTTAGCTCAGACCAAGCATTCCACTTTGCAACGTTTTTAAAATCATAAAACGAAGGCTTAGCTGAGAGTTAATATTTGCATATTTCCTACCTGTAGTGTTATCGCCTTCTATCCCTTGCTTATAAAGAGCATATATCTTTAAAAGATCGCTATCTGAAGGCTTTTTCTGCAAGTTTTTGACCTCCTCTGCGGCTCTACAGAACGCAGTCTACGGTAAACCAATACAGAATACATTTCCCGTCGATGATGGGTCTGACATTAAACTTGCAATGATAAAAATTGCAGATTTTGAAATGCTGTATTGCATTTAATTTAGGGTTGGGCCACCAGAGTTAATTTGGAGCCTGCACTTAAATCGGGAAAAATATTAGTACGAAATTTTTGAGAAATTTTTTACGGCTTTCAGAAATCGCGTTTTTGATGTCATAAAGAATCTGGTAAATCTTTGACGAGAAGCGAGGAAAAGAACAACATTCTAACTCCAGTACACAGATGAAAGCCCATAAGGCTAAGGAGGCGGTGGCATGTGTAGCATCGTCGCGGTAAACGGTTTATGTCCAGTAACGATATGTGAAGCAGATGCAGCAACATTTCGCTTGAAAAAAATTGTGTCATATCAATGAAAATGGGGGTGGATATACCCAGCATTCGCTCTAGTAAAAATCAAGAGTGTGACGATGCTCGTTGCATCGATGCCGTGATGGATATCATTTGGCGATGTATGAATTTATTAAGCGTCTATGGTAAAAGAATCAAGAGTAGTATCCCTATAAGATCCAGAGAATTTCGATCCAATAAAAATTCAGGTTTCACCACCATTGGATGTGGATGATGTTTCTGGGTGATGTTTGTGGGTGATGTTTCTGGGTGATGTTTGTGGATGATGTTTCTCGTCATTATTTCCTTTGAGTAAGGGCAAAAAAGGGGAAAGACTATGGCTAGTGGCTAAAAATAAGAACGGAGGTGCAGTGATGCCTTCATTTGTACTTTCCCTTTTACCTTGGTTAGTGTTGAAAAAATTGGAGTGCCCATTTTTATCGAGTTGAAAAGCTCGATGTTTACCTTTAACTTCATTGTCGTAATAGCCAAAGTAATTAATGGAAGATCCCGCGAAAATGCTAAAAACAAATAGACAGGCAATTTCATTTTGACAAAGAATTATTTGGACTTGATATCCATAAAGAGGACCGCAAATCTCACCTCGACAATGTGAAGACGTAAAAACATGCGAGATAAATCCAAAAGGCATAAGGATGCACTCCGAACTTTTATATCATCCTTCATAAAGGGTTATAGACCAAACAAATACTTAAAGCAACTGGGGAAATCGCAATAAGTATCCTAAAGTTTTTATACGCTTCGCCAGCAAATATTGAGCTAACCACTCATGAACGTTCCAAAGTGGCATACCTTTTAGAATTTCAAATGATCTTTCACTTGAATAAAAGACAATCCCCTAAAAATAAGGATATAGAATCGGCACAACGGATTGAAATGCAACTAAAATACAGCACATCAAAATTGGCGTGTCTCTATGATGTGCGACGCCTCGCAGGAAATTAAGATATGGATCTTGATCATGTTCTTGGCAAATAAGGAGCGGATCCAATCGAGCGAGTGGAGTCTATATATTGATGTCTATTGTACGCCATTCTCTGCGGTATCATCATATATTGATGGGAGAACAAAAATGGTAATCAAAACGATCGGAAATCCGAATGTTTGAATGTTTATTGAAGTGAGCGGTTTTCTGAAAACATTTCTTCTAATGAGAATTTGGGGCCCGTTCAATGATTACTGATCCAATCAACAATTTCAAATAAATTTAATTATCAGCCGTCCTATTTTTTGATCAGCATTACTGTGTATCTGTCTGCCCTTAATTAAAGAATTGAATTTAAAATACGAAATTAACGATTAGGGCTAGGGTTTGTGGTGGGCTATGTGGGAGAATATTCCCACACCTGGACCAACCATTTATTATATTGTAAGTATTTCATAAATAAACGTAATCGAGAAAGGCCGATTTTACCTTGGAATCAGAACCATTTCCATTTGAATCCAATGGGATGGGATTTAACTTAATTTGGTGCAGAAATTCTTTTTTCTTTCGTTGCAGGACAGATGGCAGGATGCGTTCTTTTTCGTTTCTATTAAACGCCTCTTCTAATTCTTGGACCGAAGTGTTGATAATTATATCAACTGATTGCAGGTACGATCCAGATTGACGCAATTTCTAAGAATAAATGCAGCAAACAAGTACCGGCTGAGTGGGTGCATGCGGCTTTTTGCTAGTATTTTTCCTTGCATCCAATATAGCAGCAAGAATCTCAGAAATAGGAAATGCATCTTGGGGATTCACAATCCAAAGGGGAGAATCCCATCGCACGGCGGGGTTTGGAAATTCGTAGCGATTAATTAATTCTTTAAAGATGGAATCAGCATAAGATGGGAGCGATTCGGATCGTCTTTTGACATTCCAAACGCTACAATTGGCCTCAGATGTTGATATTTGGATCTTGGATAATCAATAAGTACAGGTTACCACTAAATGGGGAACGCCCATTGTTTTTGCGGAACAAGACATTTGGTATCGCATGCTTTTCAGTTCATTACTAGAATCAACGATTACAATCGTGTTTTTTGTAAGCCTTTGTTCAATAGCAGACAAAAGAGATTCCCGAACAGATTTTTCCGATCTAAAGTCTCAAAATTGGGATAAAGCCACATACCTAATGGAGTAGACTCTGGGTTGTATCCAAAATCTGATTCGGACAATAAACGAACGGACATGTTATTCGCCTTTATTTGCTCTGAATTGAAAAGCAGGCCTTCTATTTCTTTGGCCCGGGTGGTTTTACCGGAGCATGGATATCCAGTAAGGCATACGAGCGCCATGGTAAACAAACTGGAAAATTGAAAATTTTAATTTGATGTCTAAATTACGGAAAGACTATTCCAAATTATCGGACGCCGAGCTGGATGCGGCAATAGAGGCTGCGCGACGAGCGCGAGATGCCTCGTCGCGTGCGGTGACGTTGGAAATCTTGGGAGACGTTCCGTCTGCAAATTTGGCGCCGCCAGAAAATGTTCTGTTTGTATGTAAACTTAACCCTGTCACGGAAGATGAAGACCTCGAACTGATATTCTCGAGGTTTGGCCCAATTAAAAGGTAGGCGTTATGCTGATCTGTTCGATAGTCTGGAGATAATAAGGAACCCAAGGACTGGCCAAAGCCTGCAATATGCCTTTATTGAGTATGAATCCAAAGAGTCATGTGAAGAGGCGTACAAAAAGATGGAAAATGTGTTAATTGACGATCGAAGGATCCATGTAGACTTTTCCCAATCGCTGTCAAAGCTGAAGGATTACCATGTAATATCATCGTCCACCATGAATCCTCGTTTTAAGCGGCTAGCAAGCGGCGGCGGCGGCGGCAAAAGCCAGAGCATCTAATTGAACACACCGGTTGGGTCCACGCGTTCAGGTGTCGTCGCAACATCCAATTGGCACGCAGGTAGCTTCGCTAATAAATTGGCGTGAAAGTTGAATTTACATTCTTCAAACATTTTAAATCCATGAATTTGCCAAAAAGCGAGACCAAGCCGTTACGAAAAGCCGGTGGCGAGGTTTGGGTTGATGAGACGCTTTCAGATTGGGATCCAAGTATAAATGGCATCGCTTATTTGTTTAGATGACTTTAGGATATTTTGCGGAGACCTTGGGGTCGAGGTCGGTGATGAGCATTTGGAGAAGGCCTTTTCTCGGTATTCTTCTTTTTCTAAGGCTCGTGTGATCCGAGAAAAACGAACGGGAAAGTCAAGGGGCTACGGTTTTGTCTCTTTCGCCAAAGTTGATGATTTTATCAGCGCCATGAAGGAAATGAATGGTACATTGGCTCGCTATATAATTGCGTAGGCAAATACATTGGAAGTAGGCCTGTCAAACTGCGGAAAAGCACATGGAAAGATAGGAACATCAATCCGAAATCAAAAACCGAGTTTAGATCGCTTCTTCGCCAAGTAAAGAAAAATAAATAATCGACGTTATTTATTGTTTGTTTCTATGTCCAGTCGGATGCAACCGTTTCAGCTGCCATGTGTTTTCCGGCTTTATAGCTGCCGTTGGGGGCAGAGTGGTTAGCGGTTTTAACTAGTCGATTAAATGAAAATGCCGCACCATTTTCCGAAAGCATGCTGGTGGATTCGGCAAAACTTGAGCTTTGGATGTTGATATCGTTGAAAAACGGATGCTGCAGTGCCTGTTTGGCAGAGATTCGTTTTGCCGGGTCAAATTGCAACATTCGCTGTCGGGGTTATTATGCAATCAATACCGATAAAAGATCAAGCCCATAAATGTCCAGTTGGGGCAAAACTTTTGACAACGCTTGGGGATGCCATTGGGGGAATAGTGTTTTGTATTCGGGCAGTGTGGACACGCCATTCCAGCTCTCCTCGGAAGGGGTTCCGAGAATTCTAAAATCAATAAACATGATGTACCGGAATATCTTGTAAAGCTCATCTATTTCGGAATCCCCGGGGAACAGGGGGCTTTGAAGAACCATTTCGCCAAAAATGCAACCAATGCTCCAAATATCCATCGCCGTGGTGTAATGCTTATCCCCTAGAAGGATCTCTGGGGCTCTATACCACAACGTAACCACCTGACATACATTTACAAAACGAAAATCACCTCGTGCGTAAATGTGCGCATCGGAATGCCATATGCCCTGGCCAGGCCGAAATCGGCTATCTTCAAGGAGCCCTCTCGATCTATTAGCAAATTTTGAGGCTTCAAATCGCGATGCAGCACCCTTCGACTGTGGCACGCATAAATGCCGGATATCAGCTGATACAGGTAGCACTATGCATAAGCATCAAAAAGGCACCTTAATTTGGTCCATTTTCATGCCGCCCGAAGCACGGATGGAATCCATATATCTCTTCAAATCCAAATCCAAATACTCAAACACAAGGTAAAGCTTTGAATTGTGATGAACCACATCATGTAACCTAAAGGGTAAACATGCAATGGGATACTTTACAACACTGTCATGATCCAATTCCTTCAAAATCGAAATTTCCCTGATTGCAGTGGCGGGGACACCTTCGTCTTCAGATTCGAGGCGGATTTTTTTGAGCGCAACAAGCGCGCCAGAAAGACGATGCTTTGCCTTATATACAACACCGTAGGAGCCTTCGCCGATTTTTTCGAGCTTTTGGTAGGCGTCCACCATATGGTACTTAAATAGCGGGTAAAAATTGGCGCAAATTTGAATTTGCCCATTTTAGTGGTGAAGACAATTTACATGCAATAGGGTAATGCATGAAAATGTGTACGGCCGTTCTGATTTCTGCATTGCTGCCCAATAGGGAAAGATTGCCACCAAGGGTCACGCATCACTAGCATAAGCATAAAATCGCATCCGACTATTTCAACGCATGCAATCAACTCCAACGTGCAAAGGGAACCCTCAAACCTCCAGTGCCATCGTGGTGATCATGCTGCATATTCCTCAGTGCCGTAATTACGACGACTTCTGGCAGATGGGTTTATTCATAAATAAGAAAGTTTGCCCAGATTATCACAGCTTAGCAAAGCGAACGTACGGGATGTCGGAAAAGGGGACCGAAACTTTGGTGTCCTTTGGCAAGAGGGGCATGGCATCTTCAGTGCTGATGTTGGCCCTAATAAGGACAGCAGAGTTTGGAGTCCAAGATTCAGGCGTGGCAATTGGGTATTTTTCAGATAGCTGCAAGGCCTCTACGACACGGAAAATCTCGGACCAAAGTCTGCCAACTGAAGCCGGATATGTCCAGATAGCTCTAACTGACATGCGATGGTCAAGAACAAACACACTCCTGACGGTCAAAGGAATCCCATTAATCACATTGGAAGGGTCGTGGTCATAAGAATCTAACATCCCCAACAATGACGCGATTTTCCCGTTGGGATCGGCAATGATGGGTGGCACATCTGTAGCGCTTAGTCCCGAAAAAATCGATAAATGTTCCCTCCACTTCAAATGAAATTCAAGATCGTCAACCGAAAGCCCTATAGGGTATAGGTTCAAGGCTTCCAATTTCGCTTGTTCTTTCATCAGCTGCGAGATTTCGGTCGTGCAAACGGGCGCTAAAGTGATAAGAGAAATCGGAAATACTGAAATCGGCTGGATGACTGAAAAACAAAATCCATGGGTCTTTAGGACATAAAGTCCGTTTTTGTTCGGCCCAAGCATGCAGCGAAAAAACGCCTGCAGTTGTATGGCATTCAAAATCCGGGAATTTATCCCCAAGCATTAAAGAAGGCATCAATGCAGGTCTAAATTTTTTCAATTTAAATTCATCATAATGGCACTATCGGCTATCATCCCATTCTCAAAGTACAGATACAGTTTGCAGCAAAATTTGAAAGATTTAAATTTGTCTTTGAGGTGCTTTTTAATCGTACAAAAGGAAATCAGCGGTATGTCGGGTTAGGATTGTCGGAAGATCTGTAATTTATGGTGTATTCAAAGGTTTTCAGCACACTTGGAGGCCATAGTTTAAGTATTATCCTTTATTTTGATAAAAATAAGGGACCCCGTTTAATAACCACAATATTAGTGATAATTGGGATAACATCGTATTGATGGCCGCATGCTTAGACACTTTGAGTGGCATGGAACTTTGATGGAGCTTGTTGTCCATGGTTTTGTATAAAACAATTTTATATACACTGTTTTTTTAGCAGAAGCAAGGCACTTTGGCGGAGTGGTTAACGCGCCAGCCTGCTAAGCTGGTGCCCTTTGGGCGCGTGAGTTCGAATCTCACAGGTGTCGATTTTTTAATTTTGGAAATGAATCATGATTTTTTTTTATCGCCCGAATATCCTTTTGTACTCCGATTTGCTCATCAGCATTTATCTTTTAGATTACCAGAATTATTCTCACTTTTAGAGCTATTTGAAGTTAGTGATCTTGTGAAAATCCCGTCCGATTTGTCTTTTTTGGAATATTGCCCGTTTCTTCCAATCGGCGGGATTCCGCTAGATGTGCTGAAACAGATAGTTTCTCGGTCTATTCTTATTCGGGATTTATACCAGAACTACTGTTATTCTTCCTCTGTTGATGATCTTATAGTTGATGTTGAAAAATCTTGCACGATTCGCGAAATGTTGGCCCCCCTATCCACTTCTTCGTTCAAGTTTACATTTGACACCTTTGGATCTACATTATCAGCTGAACAGCAGATGGCAATTATCAACAGGTTTTCATTTTTACCCCTAAAAGGTCCCATTAAGTTACAAGATCCTGATGAAACTTTTGTAGTTTTTGGATGCCTTTCCTCGAAAACATGGAACTTTGATCCAGAGATTTGGCTGTTTGGAAGACTAATGGCTCAAAGTAGCAGATATTTGGTTGATGTGTTCGATCTAAAAAAGAGGTCGTATATAGGGATCACATCGATGAACGCAGAATTGTCTCTTATCATGTCCAATATGGCTTTGATCAAAAAAGGATCCTTTTTCTTTGACCCCTTTGTTGGGACAGGCTCTTTTCTTTTAACAGGAGCATATTTTGGAGGGCTAGCACTGGGGTGCGACATTGATGGCCGGCAAATTCGAGGGAAAGGACACTCGGATATTAAATCAAATGCAAGGCAATATAACGTATCTTCAAACATATTGGGAGCCTTCATTTGCGACATTACGAGAAATCCACTTCGATGCGATTTGGAAATTTTCGATGCTATCATTACAGATCCTCCATATGGAGTCCGTGCTGGGGCAAAGAAAATCACACCCCTGAGTTCCTTATTGGTTTCCAAAGTTGCTGATTGTATGAAACCCGTTTATCCTAAAACCGCTCCATATCCTACGTCGCAAGTATATGCAGACTTGGTTGATTTTTCTGCCGTGCGATTGGTTGTGGGTGGAAGAGTTGTTTTTTGGATTCCCTCGACAGACGAAGATAGCAGTGGAGCCGAGTTGGATGTCCCAGCTCACCCATGCATGAAGCTTGTGGCCAAGTCAGAGCAGAAGCTTAACACATGGAGCAGATGGCTCATAACGATGCAGAAAATCGCATCACCCTCTTCTCTCCCTAACCCCCCAGCTTGTGAGGTTGAACCACGCTTTTTCCGAACCGAATATTTCCGATCGCCAAACTAAGCTGACTAATTAATTAAATGTTTCGTTTCTTTACTGGTCATAATCGGTCGACGATTCTTTCCAGATCTTTATGCTTTTGTCAGCCTCGCCGGTGATCAAACGCAATCCGGAGCGATCAAAAGTTGCGGCAAAAATTCCGGCTTCAGAATCAAGGGATCCCGGTTGTGGGATGGATTGCTCCCGCTGAAACCCACGGCCGGACCGCCAGTCATACCATGTGAGAGCCCCATCATCTGACCCTGTAACCATAACATTGTCTTCAGAGATTGCCATGGCATTAATTACACAAGGAAGGGGGCCCCCTTCGATAAAGTCGTGCAGGAATTCGCCGTGCGGAAAAAGATACTTTTTGACTCGATCTGGGGACCCGGCAGCAAACGTGTATCTAAATAAAAACACAGGAAATACTCTCTGGGATGGGTAGCAAGCGCTCTGATTGCTTTCTTGTGATGTGTCAACGTCACCCTCGTTTTTCCAGCTGCCAAGTCCCATAGCCTTACGGTAGAGTCGTTTGAGGCTGTCACTACTTGAGGCTCAGGGGCTTGGCAAATGACAGCATTGACGGCTGCCGTGTGGCCGGTCAGAACATGGATGGGTTGCTTGGTCCTCATGTCCCATACTCTGGCTACGGAGTCCCTTCCTCCAGTAATGAGGATATCCAAGGTTGGATGCAAAGCAAGTGAATATACAGCAGATAGATGCCCATGGTAATGTCTAACGACTTTGTTCTGTTCCAAATCCCAGCATTTGACCTGCTTATCCTCACCCGCTGAGAATAGGTAAGGATGTCGATCCGAAACTGCCAAGCCACGTACTGTTGATATGTGCCCTGTAAGGGAAAGCTTGAGATTTCCCGAGGCCAAGTCCCATATCTACATTCCATTAATTGGTCAAGAAAAAACTTTGATTGTCCGATCGCCAGAGCCAGAGGCAAACCATTCATTGGAAACATCGACGGCTAACGAACGAACCCATCCTACCGATTAAGATTTAGGGCCGGTACCAATATGCCCACTAATAACACGCAGCAGTTCCCATTTCAAATGTGGCAAGGGATTGGGGCGGTCTTCATTTAAATCTTTATATTTAGCAGTGACCTGGAGCTCCATTTTATATTAAAAGTTAATTAAAAGCAAGGTCGCAATAAATTTTAAGTTACCATGTCAATTACTGTTAAGAGTTTTATTTCCCCAGATCTCCAGGATCCCGAAAGGTTAAATGCTATTAAGTCTTGGGCTTCCAGCATTAAAAATGCAAACGCGATTGATTGCGTTGTTATCTTCGATGTTTGGACATCTTCAGATGTTGAGCTTTTTAAGCAAGCGCTTGAGAACATCTATCCCGTTAGTGTGACCATTCCAATTCAGGCATCGATGTATCTGTTTCAAAAATGGTCGTATGGGTCTGGAATTTTGATATTTTTGCAAGAAAAGTGCAAGTTTGATCATAGACCTTTCATATGGGGTCCAGAAAAAGATATGCAATATTCTCGTTCGTTGGCAGTTCTTGAGATTAATTCTGTTAAATTGGTTATTTTCCAGTCTATCCGAAAATTTTCGAATTCTCAGAAGCCTTCTATCATTGATTGTTCATCTAGAATGCTTATTGATTTTGAGGCTGCATCCATAATGACTAGTATGGAGCTAATGGGCAGGTCTGTTCTTATTGCAAACCTACCTGGAAGCACGCTTCAAGATGTGAATTCCTGTCTTTCTTTATGGCGTTTTTCTTCGAGATTAAACCTGAACCCCTTCATTGGTGAGAAAAGTGATACCACTATTTTTTATCCAAAGAAAAACTACGAAGTATCGAAAGGGAATCAAGATAAAGATCCATATGTGATTACATTTTCTGGAAACACTAGTAGTTTTGATGGCAAAAATAGCTTTTTTGACACAGGCTACAAGGATCCTATTGTTCAAAAACAGAATATTGATCTTTTTTCTCGAGATGTGGATATTCTCAATTCTAGGCTTGTTGAAATGAAATCGGATGTCGGTTACATTTTCATTAAGATCCTGGTTGCTTTTGCTGTCGCTTATTTTCTGAAATATGTGTTTATTAAGACTTTTAGCTATTTTAGCCGTCACTTAAGACAGAAAACTGGTATTTTTGCCCGGAACAAAGATTTCTTATTAAATAGCTGTAATTTCGTGGTTGATTTTTTTCAAAACGCCTATGTTCGAAAGAGTGCACTAAAATTGTCCAACTTATGGCTGGAATATGCATTCGTTAGCGGTATCAGATCCGCTATTGAAGGTGAAACTCTTCCTAGTTCCTTGGTTGCAAAAATTTATCATTCAGGTTTATTTAGCTTTGAACACAAATCATCTCAATATCTCACGTATCCTTTGTTTATATTGTCGCATTGCATAGCAATATCTATATACGTAGCATCGAAGATAAAAAGATTTTCTTTAAATCAACAAATGCTACAAAAGTATTTGTGTCTGTTTTTTATGTTTCTTTATTCATCCCTTTCGCTTTACTGGTGTGATTGGCAGATACTTTATGGAGGCAACCACCTGGCTACCACCAGTAATATTTTCAGCGTTTTTACATCCCGTTGCTTTTATCTAGCTTTGTTTATGATCTTTTTTCTGCCGCGCAAATTTATTGTCGGCCGCAAAATTACTTTTCTGGGGTTTATCGCGGTACTTGGGCTTTACCTGGCGAATGCTATTTTTGTGCATAAGAGATTTTCGCGCTGGCATTATTATCATGCATTGATTCTCTTCCCAATCTTGGTCCCCATCATTGAAAGGCTTAAACCCAATTTTTATTCACAATCTTGTCTAAGTTACAATTTTTATTCAAAATATTATGCAGGTTACAATTTTTCTTTTCTTTTAGCCTATTTGTTTCCCAAAAAAAAGATGTCTTTTTTGTTTTAAGTTCTATGCCCTCTGAAATATTGAAATAAAAAATAGATTTTGGCTGTTAAAATCAACAGTCAAAAGGTTGCTCATCCCGATTAGCCTATGACCTATACTTTACCACATGTACCTTAAATAATTACAAAATAATTTAATTGCTTTGCAAGCGGATCCGTGCAAATGCTGACGTTTTTGAATGAGTTGGAGAAGAGCGGTGGGTCGCCTGAATTCCAAACTGAAAATTTTGTCTTTTTGTGGCGGCTATGCCAGAATTGCACATCAAGCCGAATAAATCCGATCGCTGTGTTAAAAAAAGTCTTTTTGGTTTTATTGTCGGGTTAAAGTTAATACTTTTTAGTTGGATCTTCTTTGAGCGTGACGGTCCTATTGAAAACGAGATTGCCGCCAGATGAATCCTTATCGACACAGAAATACCCTAAGCGTTGAAATTGAAATTTGCTTTCAACTGGAGCACAGCTAACACGGAGATCAACCATAGAATGTTTGTGCACAATCAGGGAGCTTTCTGCGATGTCGGAGAGCCATCCTCCCGGGGCGTCATCGGGCGATAATGATTTAAACAGATCGGAATACAATCGAATTTCGGCGGGGCAATTTTTGTTAGACTCGACCCATTGTATAAATGTCCTTGGTGGACAAGTGGCTACGCTCACCGCTTCTACGGGAAGCACATTGGAGTTGCCGTGATAGCCAGGTGAAATTTGAATCGAGAACGAAGCTTTAAATAGGCCTACAGGCTGGGTCAAAGTGAGTCTCCTATAATCGGAATCGCCGTTTGGATCAAAGTCAGAGCGATCGATGGATATGGTTCGACTAATCGGAATCCACTTGCTAGACACGGCCTTTCCAGTTGAAGCAGAAGAAGGAAAGTCTGGAACTGAGATCCAATAGTACCCGTCGTCTCTAAGAACGCCTCCTGCCTCGATAACAGCGGGCAAGGCAACTTCATTCCACGATTTCAGCGAAATCTCAACATGTAAAGGTTCCAAAATAGCCATGACCCTTGGGGCAATTTCATTGAGATGCTCTCTGACATAGCTTTCCAGCAAGCGCACATCGACGGTAGTAAATGCCGTGGTGATGCCAATGTTTTCCACAAATTTGTTCACAGCTTCAGGAGTGAATCCACGACGGCGAATTCCGGCAATCGTATAAATTCGTGGATCATCCCACCCATCAACAACGCCAGACGAAACTAGCTTGGTAAGCTTTCTTTTTGAAAGCACGGTATTGGTGATATTGAGACGCCCGTATTCCCACTGCACAGGCTTATAGACGCGAGCGGCATCGCAAACCCAATAGTAAGCCTCGCGCGCCAGGATAAACTCGGTCGTGCAAAAGGAATGGCTAATGTTTTCAAAGGAATCGCATAAGCAATGCGTATAGTCGTACATTGGATAAATATGCCATGTCGACCCAGTAAGGCAATGAGGGGTGTCCAAAATACGATATGCAACCAGGTCCCACATGAATGGGTTGTGCGAATCCATGTCTTGGCGAAGACGAAGAGTGGCCGTTTCTGGCTTCCATTTTCCTTCATACATTTCTTGGAAGATACGGACACTCTCCTCAATGGGCCTGTCTCTCCATGGGCTAGGTGTTCTTGGCCCCTTATCATCTCCCCCTCGGCTTGCGTGAATTTCTTCGGCCGTCTGATGGCAAACATAAGCCTTTCCCTCAGAAACCAAAAGTTTTGCGATATCATATAGCTTTTGAAAATAATCCGACGATGCTGTTTCTGCACAAGGAGTAAATCCCAGCCACTGCACAGATTCTCTAATTGCATCATAATATATGGGTTTCTCTGCTTCTGGATTGGTATCATCAAACCTCAGATAGGTGTAGCCACCATGTGCCTTGGCATAATTGAAGTTGAAGTTTATAGCCTTTGCATGGCCGATATGCAGAAATCCATTGGGCTCAGGGGGGAAGCGAGTTACGACTCTTCCACCGGTTGCTTTCAAGTGTGCCTGGCGAATTTCTTCAGAAAGCTGTGGATTTTCCCCTGGTTTGTGAAGCTTCAAAACTGCCCCATAAAAAGAGCGGAAATTTTCGGAACTCGTGGTCTCCGAAACGGGAGCCAAAACGGATTCGTTTTCTTTCCTTTTTTGTTGAGCTTGCAATAAAAGCGATTCTGCCCTTTCCTTGACGGTTTTTCCGTTTGCAAATTTGATTTTCGGTTCATCCCTTACTAGCTTCAAAAGCTGGGCAATATGAATGGAGGAAGGGGATTCTTGCGCATTCAATACGCGAGAAATGGCATCATCAATTTCAGATTCAGATACGCTTACTCCAATGCCGGCACAATTGTATATCTCTTCTTTTGAAAAGGAGGGCTTTGCGTCGCTGATAGCCGACTGTATTTGTACATCTCGTGTGATTAGATTGTCTGCAATGGCCTTTGAAAGAATGGGAATCAAAAAGCTTTCCTTTTCTTTTGGACATGTCGAGGCAAGTGTATACAGCAGCATTCCGGAAGGCTTTGGACATCCGTTGTGAGAAACACCGGCAGAGTCTATGGCCAAAGTCAGAGTGGAGGAAAGCTTGCTATTTGAAGCGGTTTCTTTTGCCTTTTTGATATCGATGCCAATGCGCGTAAATTTGGAAATTAAATCATCAATCCCAGCGGTGGATGCCATGGCGCGGATCGACAAAAAGAGTTTAGAAAGACGAGGGATGAGTAACAAAAACTTGTGTTTTTAATTTTTAATTTCACATTTATGAATTCACACCAAAATGACACAGTAAGTCAGCATCCGGGGTTTCATCATCACCATGTTTTAGGCCATTTTGTACAGATCTGTTATTGAGGATGTGATATATCAAGTAAGAAACGACTTTCTTAACATGGGACTCGATGAACAGGTTTTATTTGAGCTGCAGGAGGTATGCCATTGTTGGTGCTAAAAGAATAGCTCTGGGAAACAAAGCTCATCGAGGCACGAGTGCTTACATCGATAGATGTGCCGGCATCGATTCCTCAACATTTTCTCAACCATAATATGCATCATATCCACCCCTCCAATACACAGGCATCGCAATGGAACAACACTTCTTTGTTCTATGGGCCCCAATCAATCAGGCAGGGATTAACGTCGACCCAGCCATCATCGCTGAAAAGATCACCCGAAAATCTGTTCTCAAAAGGGACATTGTTGAAGCAAGGCAGGTTTGATCACAGCGATGAGGAAGATGCAAACGGCGAAGCCGAAAAGGATCCATCACACAATGCACCGATGCGCAACAATGGATCTCAAGATAAGGCTGCTGGAGAAGATGTCCTTGGATCTGATCTTGACGACTCGGAGGAAGACATCGATGTCCAGGACACTGACAACATCATTTTGTGCCAATTTGAAAAGGTAGGGATGTTTATTTGCTAACTGCGGCCCCCATAGGTTGGACACACCAAGACAAAATGGAGATGCACGTTCAAAGACATAATTCTGCACATAAACGGGGTCGACTATGCTGCCCACCGGGCAACGGGTGAATTTGATTGGATCTGATGTGTGTCATTTTGTATATTACGCGAATCCCTTCAAGGATGGCAGCTTATTTTTGTAAACTTGGTAATGCTAATAAATATCTATTCAGGATACGCCGAATTTAGGTTTGCTTTATTATTTAAGTTTGAACGCGGCGATCATAATAGCGCTCCAAACGATTCCCGATTTGCTATGGAACAGAGCTGGCAAATAATGGACATGCCAAGTGTTGATGGCGAAAAAAACACACCAGACCAGGGGGTCCAGGACACCGAAATGTTCGCCGAAAACGACCAGCATGTGTGCACGAAAGAGGGCATTGTAGCCTGTGGTGAGGGAAACCTGTATGTGGAGGACATTGACAATCCGCTTGCGTCGGAAACAGGTTTTTATGATGCTTTATAGAGTTTCAGTTATCATCTCCCCATCTCCTATATACATGCAACTGGTTTTCCCCACCCTTCAAACGGCAGATTCGATCATCTCTACCTCCATACAGAGCCACAGCAAAAAGTCTGGCCAGCGCTCAGCAAGCGCATTCGACGGTGGGGTTCACTATTAACGAGGCCATAGCATCTTGGCTTTTCTGGGTCTTCGTTGCTGTTCTGATGGCGGCCCTTGGTGTTCTTGTTGTGTTGTTGCACAGGGAGGCCGAACTATACCCACTGCGCCATAACCTACCAGAGGTAGCCTCCCCCAGTGCGGTGTCTACTTAATTTTAGTGCGTTTACGGTTGGCTTCGCTCCAGGAACTTGGTCATAAAATGGTGACATTCATCACGGCGAATGGAAAATAAATCGCTTAGGGCTCTTGTAAACGACCCGAAATTAACGCTGCAAATTACGGATGATCAAATATTTGGTGTCTTGGCGACAGTAATGACATGATCAATCGCGGCGTTGTTATGCGAACAAAAAACAAGATAATCTTGAATTATATCAAGGAATCGCGAGATCACCATATCTGATAACCATCATCAATTATGATTCCTCCTCCAACCATAAACACAATTGAGCGGTTTGACTATGACATCAAGGAGCTGCAGTCGCTCTCGGAAATTGCAAATTCACTAGGGGTCGCCAAACATCCCATTCTCAAGGGAACTTTCGATCGGTGCTATGAAAAGGCCGGATTCAGGGGCTTTTCGCAGGAGTGCAGCAGCCTTTCCCTTCTGATCATGGCTATTCGCCGGTATCGGATGGCAACCCTGGGCGAGGACGAGCAAAGCGAGTTTTGGGTGCGAGAAAAAAATCTGCTAAAACTGTCTCCATTTTAACCCTCCTCTGCATTGTAAATAAATCTGAAATTAATTTTTATTTCGCCCAATTTAACTTTTCTGTCTTTCGTTTGATGATTTCAATGTCATCTAGAAGCCACTCAATGTCATCCGCCGGGGGAACAACAGCCGTAAAGCGACTGATGGCAGAATATAAAGGTACTTTGGCACTGGCCTTTTCATAGAGCTGACAAGAAACCCCCCAGATGGAATCACCGCTGGCCCGGTTTCAGATGATAACATGTTGGTGTGGGAGGCTCTTATTTCTGGCCCGCCAGACACTTCCTTCGAAGGTGGGCTGTTCCCTGCAATTCTCACCTTCCCAAAGGACTATCCGCTCAGCCCGCCGACAATGAAATTTACCTGCAAACTGTTCCATCCCAATAGTATGCACAATGGTCTAACTTACCGCTAGTTTATGAGGACGGAAGGGTGTGCATTAGCATCCTGCATCCGCCTGGAGATGATCCAAACATGTATGAACACAGCTCCGAGAGATGGTCGCCCGTTCAATCTGTCGAAAAAATACTTTTGAGTGTTGTATCCATGCTGGCCGAGCCTAATGATGAGTCGGGGGCAAATATCGAAGCGTCGAAAATGTGGCGCACCAATCGAGAGGCCTTCCATGTAATCGTCAGGGAATGTGTTGCGAAGAGTCTGCAGCTCTAAGGTCCAGCTCATTTGTTGATAAATAAAACTTACTGCTAACACTCGATAAGATTTTCACTTGATGCGGAGAGGAAATCCCAATTTACACTTGGGAAACAAAAAATTTGGTTCCGTCCCGCTACTATTTATTGATAAAACTACTTGACAAGCCCTCGCCGCCAACTTACAGAGCGTATGGACGCCGCAACGACGTCCTTCAGCCCTTCATCATACCCTAGCCATTCGCAATTTTCGTCAAAAGCAGCGCGATCAAAACAGAGGCCAGATGCCGATTTGATCTCCCAGGAGGCATTCTATTGATTGGGGATTGCATCAAACCTTGGTGACCGAAAAAAAAAGCGGCTCAACACCCCGAAAATCAAATGCAATGCTTGGAAAGTCGCTGATCGTTGAGAAACGTTCGCCCATTGCGACCTCGCGGTCTCCCAGCAGCAGCAAAGGGTTATTTTCAATGCCTTCATCATGATCATAAGTGACATTTAGGGTTACATTCAACGGTAAAAGAACATTTGCACTCCTTACATTTGGCAGAGTAAAGCAGATGTGGATTTGCAAATACCGTCTGCGCCGTGCCTGCACTATGACATCGAAGACATGCAACCTGAAGGCTTGATTTGACGCACAGATAGCCTTACCTCGATCTCATAGTGAGGAGAGTCGTTCTCGGAAAGCTTCACGCGCTGGACATTTTCAAATTCGCCACTGCAATACAATTGATACAGCATGGGGAGGATAATAATAAATTTATTAACTACTTTTGCCTATAGATGCTCTGTACATTACTAGCCAGCGATTATAATCGGAGGCCTCTGCAATTGCCCTGGTCAGGAGCTGCGAACAAGCAGGGTCGGAAAAGTGCTCTGCCAGAGAGTCGCTGGAGGTGGCAGTTGCGATTTTGGTCCGTTTGTTCGGTGGCGTGTCGAAAACGGGGATGTGAATATCCTTTGGATGCTCTGAATCAAAAGAGGGTGAAAATCCCTCCGGTACCAACCCATAGCTCTTCATGCCCTCAAATTCGGCAACAGTAAGAATGTCTGAAATGACCGGATTCTCAATAAAATGCTCCAGTCGCGATATGGAAATCCCAGGCTTGGCCAAATTTACGGCATATTTTTTGATGGCCTGGCCAACCTCGACAAGCGAGATATCTCTGTGTCTGATGTTGCTTGCAATCAGCCCCAGGGATGACAGCCAGTTTTTTTCGTCTTCCGAAGCCCAGAGCTTTGTCAATGTTTCCACATTGCGGTGGAAGAGCGTATACGAGTCACGCATCCCCAGTTCCCTTGCAAGATCTAATGCTATCACGTAGAGCTTCTTGGGATCCCGCTGAGGGAGTGGGAACACGGGAATGGCAAAAATGGAGGCTAAAATAAGCAATGCCACGATTCTTACATTGAAGTACGCCCCTTGCAGGAAAACCAGAGCTTCCCGCAGCAGATGCAGATGCGGCTGTTGAGACGGGATTCTCTGAATGCCTAGCTCCTGGACTTCGCGCTTTCCTTCGATCATCTTTACCGGCGTATGGAGTAAGAGACTGGGCGCTCTTCTGCAAAGAAGAGATTGCAATGTTCTGGGAAAGGTCAGATGCAAGCGCTGGATGGATGGGGATAAATGTCAAGTGTACACATACCTTCTGGAAAACAAAATTCAAACTTTGCTGTTTCGACCCACAAATCGGTAGCAAGAGTTGCTGTTTTCCTGGCACTTTGCATTCTGATAAATTTTAATTTAAATTCAGTTTTGTTAAAAATATGTTTATTTTTATCAAAAAACACAAATTATATTGCAATTATTCATCAGAATGTCATATTTTGATTTTTTTTCCTGATTTCTAGGGCCTCTAGCAGTTCTCATTGGTGAATTCTTAATCATTATTCCTCATTTGTCAATATATTTATCATATCAAACCATGCGATTTTTTAAGCTCACTTCTTGAAAAGCTAATCCGATCAAATCAGCAACTCTAACTCTATTTCATTTATATTATCCACATCTCCTGACCTCCAGTGCTAATTCCCATGACGCTGCCAGAAACGAAACCTAGAGTTTCACATTCTAAATTGATACCTGCTACCATAAATCCTGGAATGGTCGCCATTCGGGCCAAACACCGTGTCCACAGGATTCATCATGGCTTTGATGGCGTTGACGTGATGGCAAATTTTGCGGTTCCCAACATTAGCAACATTTCTGCTTCGAAAGTCGATGGAAGGGTAATCGACGCGATATCCTCTATAAAGGGAGAAATAACCACAAGGGATCGCACCATTTCCTTGTACGAACGGCATTCTCCCACCTGCTATTTGTAATCGAGTATTATATGTCATGGTCGAATTGAATTGAACCTGAATAAACGTTAACAAATTTTCATTTTGTATTTACACGTTCAATTGCGCGTCGGCATTTGAGTCGCCAACAGCCGTCGTCTGTATCATATGCCCTCTCCATCAAGTGTACTTTTCAATTTTCGCTTCGGACCTCACAAGCGTCGCTTCAGCGTGCTTGTTTAGCGCACCAATTTTGGAGATTTTAACCTTTTGCGCATCCAGTTCATCCGACATGTCCAGTGCCATTTTACCGAGGTTCTTGGTAACCGCGGAAATATCCCTCAAATTTCCATCAATTTCTGTTTCCTTTTCCGTTTTTTCTGGGGCGGGTGCAATTTCAGCCTCTTTCGCTCGGGGTTTCGACAGCTCTTTCCTCATCTTTTGCTCCTTTTGCAACTGTTCGGTCAATATTCGCTCGCGCTGCTTGATTTTGTCCTTTTGGGCAGTGGACTCGATCCCCAAAATCGTGTCGTCGAAATCCCGGTCAATTTTCTTTTTTTTGCGGTTAAAAAAGGTTGTGAATGAGAAATTAAGGAATTTGCCATACTTTTTAACCTTCTTGGACTCGATGTAATTCTTTTGTGTATTTGCATCCATTTCTCTGGCCTTGCGCTCTGTTGAGGTAATCTGCTCCCCTTGAGACTGCAGTGTAGATAGTGTTTCTTGAGCAACACCTTCGGTACCTTTGATCGTTGCAAGGGCCCTTCTGGTCCGTATTAGGGCATCATCTTCCAGCGCGTCTCTTTCCGCATGCAAGTCCTTGATTTCATCGCTGGCACTCATTGATGTATTTGTTTATGTAAATTCCAAATTGTTGAAATCGAAATTTTAATTAATTTAATTGGTCAAAATAAAAACTTGATTCAAAACCTACCTACCCCTGCTTCAATGGTAGCACCTTGCACGGCGCTTCATTGGTTGGGGTGCATTTTAATAAAACGAGACATGTTTTTTGCAGATAAACTTGGACTTCTCGAGTCCACATAAGCGAGCTTGTATTTTTGCGGATCAATTTTCCTCTTTTTTGTGAATCACTTTCCCACTTTTCTGTGCATCACACTCTTTTCGCTTGTTGTTATAAACGGTGGCGTGTATGCCATCCTGTCCTGGAAGCAAAGGTAAAGCTACCAAGAATCGAACTCGCAGAATTGCCCGATGGCTAATTTTGATTTTTTCCTGCTGGATAAATTTCGGCAACTTTTATGTATATGATAACCCGTCTTCGCTGAACCGCCAGTTGGAGGCGTGGCTAGGAATTTCGGACGAAATTTACGGGTTTCAGTTCATGTTGTTCTATTCAGTGTATTCGATTCCGAACATCTCTCTCCCCTTTTTGATTGGAGGTCTTTTAGATATTTACGGTACGAATGCGCTGCTTCTTATTCTTTCCGGGCTCGTATGTCTTGGCCAGGGAATATTTGCCATTGGTGGGCAGCTCAAAATCCTACCCATTATGTTGGTAGGGAGAATCGTGCTCGGATTGGGCGGAGAAAGCCTAACCGTCGCCCAAGCTAGGCTGATTACATACTGGTTTTCCGGAAGCGAGCTTTGTTTTGCGATTGGAATCACCCTTGCCATGTCACGTGCGGGGCTCGTCTTAAATAACGTGCTCTCTCCCATCATTGATGATCTCACATCACTGCCCACTGCCCTTTGGGCTGGCTTCGGGTTTTGTGTGTTCTCGTATGTGTTGACGTTTATTTCGGTTGCTTTGAACAGGCGGCTTGCGTATGTACGAATTGCCCCGGTGTGCAACGACCTCGCTTGCTGCTCTCCCGTGGCAAAATCACCGAGCCCACTGAAACCGCTGGGCATCAGAGAGCTCTTGACATCTACTCCAGCCATTGTCAAAACTTTTCATCCGGCTTTTTTGTCCTGTGCGGCGCCTGCTTTGCCTTAAATGGCTCGATCACTCCATTTAACAATACTGCGTCAGACTTTCTGCAGCACAAGTGGTATTCCGAATCGCCTTCTACCGCCACCTGGGCAATGTCTATTCCAGATGCCATGGCTATTTTTTTGATTCCCATTATCGGCTACATGATCGATCTTTATGGGTTCAAAGTAGCCTATCTTATTGGGAGTGGTTTTGCGCTGGGGCTTGGTCACTTTCTACTGGCAGGAGATATCTCATCCCCTGTGATTCCGCTGATAATCAACGGGTTTGCTTCTTCGTCGGTTGTCGCTATATGGCCATGTATCCCATATCTGGTCCCTGAACTGTATTGGGCCACGGCATATGGAATCGTAACGGTGTGCATCAATGCGTCCTATATTTTTGTTCCCATTTGCGTCGCTATTCTGGAAAATATGGATAGGTTTTATGTATCGGTAGAGCTTTTCTTCGCACTACAGTCGATTCTTGGGGCATTTCTGGCAATTCTCTTTGATTCTGCACGCAAGCTACCGCCGCCCTCTGCAACACAGTCCACACAGACTTTGGAAAAAATGCCACGAGCACCAACATTTTCGGGCCCTCCAGAGTCTTTCCTTGTCTCTCTGGATGATGGTGCCAATAACGATGGAACCGACGACGAATCTGAGGGCGAGGAATGGGGTGGATACGATGAGAGTGCTTGCAGCTTTGTTTCTGCACACTCTGCATCCGGTGTAATGGCCTCCAAAATGCCGTCCTCCACACCAGCATTGTTTCATCGTCACCAGCTTCTGAGTGACGAGCCTTCTTCGTTTCGTGCTCCCCAGCCTCTCAGGCGCATCCATCACATCATTAGATTCAGAGACGACTCCCAGATTGAAGAAAGGGTATGCCTCAACGGCATCTCCCGGAAAAGAGGCAACTCTGTCCTCGGCACATAGCCATTGTAATAATAAACTGGTTCTGTAAATCTTATCAACACACCACCACACCGGGGTACATTTCTTGCGTCATTCCCATTACGGATTGCAGCCGTGTTAAGATCAAGTTTTTATTGAAGACAAAATATTTCCCGGTCACTTTGCGGTGGCAAAGAATATGGTCTCCGTGGTCGCCATGACAGCCTCCGAAAGCTCTGTTACCGAAATGTTCTTTATCAATGCGACAATCCGTCCGACATCACTACATTAACTAGCAGACAATACCTTATCAGCGCAGGTTCATTTCGGCCTTTGATAAAATAATCTGAGCTCCATTTTGAGGGATCCTTTTGCAGGGCTGAGATGGAGCGTAATCCTTCGGCAACGGCTTCTTTATCGGAATCATGATCAATGTCTACCGTTTGGTGACCATTAAGATGTTGCGTGTAAAACTGAACACCGGCACTGGATCGCTTAAGCAGGCACCAAGGGGCATCTAAAAACGATTATTCCCATCATGGCCATCAAACCAGTTTCCAAAAGGATTCGATCCAAGGGAATGGTATCTCTGATTATTGAAATACTCTCTGGTTGTCGGAGCGAGCAGCCATTCAACCCAATGTGGAGGCCAAGCTCTAGGGCAGTCTTAACTTCGTCTTCAGTGCCGGTAAATGAGTGCAAAACGCCGTAAGTAAATCTTTTTCGATTGCGAACAATGATTTCTAAAGTAAGCGGTAAATTCAACCAAAAAAGTCGGCAAATGCGGCTCCCCTGCAATGTAAGAAAAGTGGAAGGCCACTTAGCTCTGCAAGCTCGAATTGTCGCTCAAAGTATCTACAGCGATTAACAGGTTCCTCGAAAACCTAGCAGGTGGTAAAAAGTCAACTGGTACTTTTTTTGGATGTCAATTGAGGAAAACTGGAGGCGATCGTAGTCTAAGAGATTAGCGTTCAGTTGAAGCCTCAAACCCAAGCCAAGCTCGCCAATGGCAACAATACGCCCACTTTTTTTATGTCGATGGTAGAAATCGGTCATTTCTGCCAAATGAATGTCTATTGATGGAATGCAGGATTCATGGTCAGCTTGTGGCCGCTGGCTTTGAAGCTCCGCAAAATGCCACTCCATGGTTCGAGTAGGATGGCATCCAAGTGTGCAATATAGACGATCTAGCTGATCACTTTTCAGACATACCATCTGTATTGCATAGTAAAATAGCCTGCTTGGCTTCTGATAGAGACCCGGCTGTAACGATAATCCTTTTCAGATTTCCGCTCGTAAAAGCGCGTTCCAAGACCATGCCCAAATCGCCTATAATTACCGTAATTTACAGCTACCTGGGTGCTTTTGTTTGCCATGATAAATGCCCATAAACATATCATCTGTGGGATTAAGAATAAATATCGATATTAGGGGCAAAGGCATAAGAATGGATAGAAATGTATCGATCATAAGAGAATAACAAAGCATCTTGAAAAGCTACAGGATGATAGAAGCATACCTAGAAGATTTGAGCCGATGTCTATTTGATATGAAAAGACTTTTTACCGATCCAACTGCCACAATGTCTACCCATCGACAAAAGATTGCAGCGGTTATGAAAACAATACCAACCCTAAATTTCAAACAATACCAGCCCTAAATTTGAAACAGCATCCCGATTGCATTGCAATTTTAATTATTGAAAAGATACCGATGCTAATCAAGGGATCTCTTTTCCCTTCCATTCTACGAGGAGGGTCGCTTTCATTTGTAAGTTTGATGGCTCATTGGCATAGAATATGATCCGCTGCTATGCAGAAGGGAAATTCGTGCGTGCTCTCCCCCATCTCAACATCGGCACCATTGGCCATGTCGACCACGGCAAGACCTCCTTGACGGCCGCTATCACTAAAGGTACGTTGCGGTTTGGGTTCCATTTCTTACCAAATGTTCAGCCATGCATTGGGTCACCATCACCACATATATGAGCTCTTAGTTGAAACTTACACTTTCCTGCCTTTTTGTTATCTCTTATTTTTCAGTGCTCTCCAAAGGCGGCCACACAAAGTACAAGGAATACAAAGACATCGACAATGCACCGGAAGAACGTGCGCGTGGAATCACCATAAATGCCACACACATCGAGTATCAGACCGCAAATCGCCATTACGGGCATGTGGATTGCCCTGGACATGCAGACTATATCAAGAACATGATATCCGGTGCTTCTCACATGGACGGCGCCATTTTGGTCGTTTCTGCCACAGATGGTGCTATGCCACAAACAAAAGAGCACTTGCTACTTGCTCGCCAGATTGGTATCGAACATCTGGTCGTCTTTGTCAATAAGGCGGATGCCGTCGATGCCGAGATGATCGAGTTGGTGGAGATGGAAATTAGAGATCTTTTGACTGCCAATAAGTATGACGGAGAGGCTACACCGATTATTGTCGGCTCCGCTCTCTGCGCTTTAGAGAATCGCTCTCCAGAAATTGGCGAATCTTCCATTATAGCTCTTGTGAACGCCATTGATTCATTCATCCCCACTCCAAAACGGGATCTCGACAAGCCCTTTTTGATGAGCATTGAGAACATCCACTCTATTTCGGGGCGCGGCACTGTGGCTGCAGGTCTGATCGAGACAGGCACCATCACAAAAGGCACCGATGTCGAAGTTGTCGGATTTGGCGGCATCCGAACTACCACTGTTACTGGGATAGAGACTTTTAGAAAAGAGCTCGATCGTGGCGAAGCAGGAGACAGCGTTGGCCTGCTTCTCCGATCGCTCAAAAAGGAAGACATGTGCAGGGGGCAGGTCATCGCCGCTCCAAAGACTGCCTTTCCTGTAAAGAAATTCGAATGTACCTTCTACTTTCTCTCCACAGAAGAGGGAGGCAGACACACAGCAATCGTGTCGAAATATCGTCCGCAAATCTTTTTGCGAGCAACCGATATCACGGGAGAGTTTACATTGCCTGAAGGGTTAGATGTGATGATGCCTGGTGACAAGACGCATAATCTTGTCATCTCGCTGATCTTTGATGTGGCCCTTAAGCCTGGTGACAAGTTTTCTGTGCGCGAAGGCGGCAAAACCGTGGGCACAGGTGTCGTCACCAAGATCCTCAGTTAATTTTAATTATTAAACCTTGCTAGCACACAAATTGTTGATAAAACCCCCAGCAATCATCATTTGCAACCACCAAGATATGAGAAAGCCGGAGGCAAATGTGGTTTATTTATCTATCGTTGGTGCTTTTTGAAGCCGGAAGTGACCCCTAGACCGGCGGGGTCTAAGTTCGGTCGCTTTGAATTACATGCCACAATCTTTATCCTATCTGCCGCAATCGGCTCCTCATCCACTCGGACAGAGGCGTTGGAAAGCACGAATGTCCACACGTCATCGCAAGATCTGTACATGTTCAGATAGCCCTATGATAGGTAAAATATTATACAAAAGGGCTGGATATTCCATTAAAGCATATGTAGATGCCGAAATTGCATTAGTAACGAAGAAAAGATAAAAAGCTGTGGGAAAGCGACATCAAAGGCGACATTACCTTGAGAACGCATCGAGATCGAATTTTTCGATCCAGGTTTTCCATCATCGACCGATCAAACTGAGAAAGAACGCGCATGGCAAGGTGCGGAGTGAGCTGCTCACTCTGGATCATATCATCAAGAGCATCGGCTAAAGTCAGGCCCAACGTGCTCCTGCGGTACAATTCATAGGGCATGCGGATTGACTGTTAAATTTTAAATTTATTTTAACTTGAATTTTGCCAGATGCAAGTGAAGACTCAACTGGTGGATGTGCTTGGGAGGCCGTTGTCGGTAACAGCCGGTGACTCTTCAGTTTCAGAAGTCGGCCCCATCGCATGTATGCCAGATGATTTAGCTCCGGTATCCTTTATGCTTCCCGTGGAGACAAATACAGATCAGCTAAACGAGCTTGCTCGCACTCTGCTCCTTCAAGCGTACCAGGGAAGCGACGACGATGAAAGGGAACGCATTGGAGAGCAAATATTTTCTTTTTCCGTTTCCATTGGCTCCAAAATACTTCCCTTTGAGGACGGAAAATCGCTTTCCTCCATCATCCCCACCAACGATGGCAGCGAAGAGCTGACAATCAAAATAATCGCTGCCCCACAGGCTCTCTTTCGTGTTCGTCCAGCCACAAGATGCACAGGGACCCTTGAGGGACATACAGATGCGGTGCTTTCTGTCGCATTTTCTGCTGATGGGCATTTCCTCGCCTCCGGGTCTGGCGATTGCACGATCCGAATTTGGGATGTCCGTACTGGAACGACAGTCAAGAGCCTCAAAGGTACGCGCTTGGATCACTTTTTTTAGAAATACACAAAGCTTGGGTGATGGCCGTCACATGGTCGCCAGATGGCACGATGCTTGCCTCTGGTGCGCACGATTCGTCTTTGGCCGTCTGGCACATGCCCCAGAATTTCTCTACATCAAGCGCGGAGTTTCCACCCAGCTCGACACCCGCCTTCGGATCACATACCGTGCTGAGAGGCCATTCTGCAGCCATTACACAGCTTGCATGGCAGCCGCTGCACTTGGCTGATCCTGCTATAAGTGCCTGCTTGCTTGCATCTGCCTCCAAAGATAAGACCGTTCGGATTTGGAACCCGAAGACTGGAGTTGTTCTCCAGGTGCTTTCTCAGCATTCAGAGCTCATATCATCCGTCCGATGGTCAGGTTCAGGTGTCCTTTTTACTGGATCCCGCGATCGCCTAATTCATACATGGCGATGGGCAGGCTCCGCATTTCAATTTTCCGGTTCTCTGAAAGGGCACGCTCATTGGATCAATCACATGGCACTTTCCACAGATGCTCTCTTTCGCACTGGCGACAGAGATGCAGCAGATTTGGTCACCATGCGGCAAGCTGGTGTTGCAGCCTCTTTCATGGAGCGAATAGAAAGAGCCAAGGCGATATATCAAAAACATATCCGAGATCACGGTGCCGAACGTCTTATTTCGTCGTCCGACGATGCTACGTTGATGCTTTGGTGCGAGTCGCAGGGCTCCTGGAAGCTTGTGAAAAGGCTTGTTGGCCACCAAGGGTTGGTGACGCAAGCGCTCTTTTCGCCCGATACAAACTGGATTGCCTCCTGTTCGTTCGACAAATCAGTGAAGCTTTGGGACGCCAGATCTGGAGAGTAGGTTTTTGGTTTTCAATGGTAGATTTATTGCTTCGCTCCGGGGTCACCTGTCGTCGGTGTATCAGCTGGCATGGTCGGCAGACTCGCGGATGCTGCTTTCCTCCTCAAAGGACTCCACAGTGATCATATGGAGTGTAGCCCAGCGGAAGATGAAAAAATGCCTCTCCGGACATCGTGATGAGGTTTACGCCGTTGACTGGGCCTCAGATGGCCAGACATGTGCCTCAGGCTCCAAAGACCATTCTGTCAAGCTCTGGCGCAACTAACACCAACATATATTTATTACCATTCACTCTCAGCCACTTGAATGAGGCCAGTTTATTTACATAGCATGGTGAGGGTAGCGCGGATGTTGATTTATGCATCCTCGTGCTTCTGTTCGCTTGAAATTCGTGTTACGTAGTGGCCATGGTGCGTTTCAGGGCTTGTACGAAGGGCGGGGACCCGTGCAAAATTTATATAATTGCACACTGAAAATTAATCCACACATCACGACGCACACAATTTACAAATGGTTGTGGTGCTACATTTGAGTCTTATAGAAACATGGCCGCTTCAAAAATCGGGAGTTTCGTTTTGGAAAGCAAAGGATTTGGATTCTTTCAGCGATAAGATATCCCAACTATTTTGGCGATTAAAAAAGGAAAATCAAATTGCACGCAGCAGGACGAGATGAGGCGTTTCAAAGTTCCGAAGAACCAAAAACAAGAAGCTAAAAGCGACACCCGCAATACAACAAAGCGCAAATATCTCGAAGACATATCCCAGAAAGGCCTCATATGTGTGTGCTGAACCCGGCAAAATCATCGGAGAGATGGATACAGAACTGGGAAATTCAGACGTCTCGGCAGAACTAGGAAATGCAGACGCCTTATAAAAGTGTACAGGCTTGGCTATAAACTCCTCTACCAAGAATTGAGATGAAAATAGCTACCCACCCAAAATAGATGTTAGTATCGCTTGAGGCAGAGAAATTTACAAACACAATACAATACATTCCTATTGGGTCTGGAATTAATGGGGTTCTCTCACATGCTGCAAACAAACTTGAAAGAGACAATTAAAGGATTCGACGCGAAACAAATGCGGCAAAGCATTTTGCAGCTCGATTGGCTGGCAGATTTCAGTCTTCAAGCCCACACAGTTTGTATGAAAGGGCTGGCCCGACTTTTGACACGAAAACGATATGTTATGATGGAGATGGTTCACAACACTGCGCCGATGTGCTCCATAATTGGCCTACTACTAGTCTAGGAGGCTTACTTTATATGCAATGGCAGGGTAAAAATTGATATCCAAATTACATTGCAGAACGTAGTTGGCCCGCGGTTTTGTTTATTGGAAATTAGTTTATAGCGCCTATTTGCGGCCGCGACTGCTGGCGGCGGATTTTCGGTGTTGCTTGGAATCATCCTCAGACTCGTCTTCTTCGTCTTCCTCCTCATCGTCTTCGGTGCCATCGTCATCAAAGTCAGACTCTTCTTCATCTTGTGTGGTATCATCGGATGCATCTTCCTCGATTTCATCCGATTCTTCGCCATTTTCGTCTTCGGATTCCTCATCATAAACAGAATCATCATCGTCGGAGGATGAAGATGACGCTTCGCTTTTGCCGTCATCCTCGCCGTCTTTTCGCTTACCTCCTGGACGTGCCTGGATGATCGACCACCCACCCATCTCGTAGAATCCAATGGGATCGTCCTGAATTGTCTTCATTACATTGATCCAATTAAAGTTGATGGTGGACGTCATCGTGTAAATATCTGCAGCATCAAGCCATGCTCTGATGGCTTCCAAATACGAGACCGGGATCGAGTCGACATGCTGCGGGGCCCTGGAATGGTCCTTCCATATGAAGACGAGATCAAAATGCTTCAACCCAAAAAGAATGCGCTCCAACGAGGCGACTTCTACATCCGCAAGGGTTACCACAAGGAAGGGCGGATCTGTCAGATGAATAAGTGCATCTCGAGTTGGCATCAATAACACAGTTTGGCGAAAAGGCACCCCATAAAATCCAAGGTCGCGGATCGGAATATCCACACTCACTTGGCCTTCAAGACGTTCGCAAAATGATTTGAATTCTTGATTGAGGACTGCTCTTCGACGCCGCTCCTCCTGCTCCTGGATGATTTCATCTTCATCGCCACCGCCCCCATAGCGAACTCGACGTCGACTGTTGGAGCTGGTGGAGGTTTCATCGACAATGTTCTCCAGAGCCTCTCTGTAGAATTGAATATCCTTTGTCTTTTTTTTGCCAATCATGATGGGATGATGAAGGTGCATGTGTATAACGACGATCATTTCATTGTCGCAAGGTTGAAAGAAAAGGTGCTTCATGTTCGAAAAAAGGATGTCAATTTTGACATCTGGTTTCAACAGGGAGCGGTAGCGAACACCGTTGGCATGAACATCAAGATCGCCCGGAACACGCTTGCCTTCCCACGGCGCAGGCCTCATGAAGAGGTCTTGCAGCCGTGCAGAACGCTCGCGAACACCACCGGCAGATTTTGTGTGCTCAACCAGTGCATCCTGGGCCACAATATCACGACGTTCTCGTGATTCTGCTTCTTTCGTGGTATACGTCTTGCGGAGGTCATTGAGTTCTTTCCAACAAGAAAGCATGTGGAACGAGTCTGTTGAGCGGAACGACAAGGACCGAACAAAGCTACTTGATTTCAATAAATCGCCCGCAGGGGAATTGAAGTTGATGCGCAAATAGACAAACTCGCCTTCCTCGCTTTTGCTAACATTTTTGATGGTGGAAACATGGAATGGAACGGGCAAGCCAAAGATCGGCAACACGACACAATCATTCTTGGCATCAACGAGGATCTATAAAATGCGAAACAAAATAAAGGTACTTTGAGATCACGCACGGCTTTTGGCAAAAATGCTTCTTTTTTGTAACACTCGATCTCTTTATAGGCGGTTGAACCCCCGGTCTTTAGAAAAGAAGCAGCGCTAGAAGGATCCTTTCCCTCTTCTTCTTCTTGTGTATATTTGAGCAGTGAATCCCGTACGAGCTTTTTCAAAAGACCAGATTGATGAGCTTCTCTTCGTCTCATTGCTTCCTCATCAACCTTTGCGTGTCCAGTGCGAGAGCGGGTGCGTATTTTTCGCCCAACAGGGGTGTCCATTTTCGTTCTGCCCTGCTTTGCATCATCATCGCTATCATCGATCTCCTCGATCGATTCATCTGCATGATCCGTTTTTTTGGACTTGGTTTTTTTTGAGGTCGACTTGAAGAAGTACGAAATGTCAGAAAGCTTTCTGGTGCATTCGGTCAAAACTCGAGCAGTCCCGTTTTGAATGAGAACGGTGTCTGAAATCATGAGCGAATACCTAGCAAGCATTAGAAATAAACTTACAAATTGGCCCGAGGGTCCTGTTTCTTGGGCTGAAGATGAATGTTTGCAAAGCCGACCATTAATATCAGGGTCATCCCATCACACACGGCGTGAGGCTTGGCCGTCGACTTTGCCCCAATGATGTAGTCAGGTTCTCGGAATTCCAGACCCGTGGACCAGCCAATAGTGGAAAGCCACGACTTTTCAAGATCAGGCCTTTTTGTGTTGACAAAATCATGTCCGAGCGTATAAATGGAGGCCAAAGGTAATCCCGTGTGTATCTGTGACAGAAGGTAGTCGTAGGTCTCTTCCAAAAACTTGTAATCCGTCTCTTGTTGTGGTATTGGATCAATCAGGAAAGTACGCCCAACATTTGAGCAATAAGAGCGATAACGGAGGCCAAGCGAGCAAACAATGGCCCCCGGATGCAAGGGCTCGCCATCAGACACGGCAGAGGGTTTGAGCGAATAGTTCCCACCAGATTGTATGATCGGTGGATAGCACATTTCAATGTGCTCTGGCTCCACGCCAGAAGGCACCTTGAACTTTGCCCGCTTTTCAGAAAGCGCCGAAACGGCATTTTCGATCTTTTCCGACAAGTCTGAATGGGTGACAGCCCGTTTATCGGCATCGATGACAGAAAGAATCTGATCGGTCACATAGCCCTGCAGAAGAGAGGATGAACTTTTGGCTGCTTGATGGATAAGCTCCTGTTCGTCAGAATCCTTCTGAACAAGTAGAGCACCAACGGCCGATGAAACGTCGATTAGCTCCAAATCCGCATGAGCAGCCATAAATTTTTTCCAATCCGCAGCAAGGGAGCCAGATGCATGGTCCTTTGAAAAAATACCAATTTTTTCAAGCCTTCCTGTCGGCGAGTGTTTTTTAAGCGAGGACAAAAATTCCTCAAACAGCTGCATCTGATCGGACCCATCTTTAGAACGCTTAAAGAAATTCAATTGGGGACCGCTTGTGCCCGGAGATTTAGACCGCTCAAGGGTTTCCAAAATCGAAACTAAATTAAAAATCGTTGAGCAAGCGCAATGGTGTACCCTTCTTTGCTGAAGTGACCGCAGAAAGGGTGTGCGGCTGGATGCCCAAAAGGGTTTCTGGAAATTCGTATCCAAAAAACCAAAACTATTGCCATGATGAGGGTCGATTTTCTTACATGAAGAGCCGTCGATTTTTGATACACCGTTGTATCGTCGGGATTGCCAACGACAACTACAATTGCATCGAGATCTGAAAATGCATATGCTGCATTCCCGCCCATGCTGTCATTCTGAAAATAACGTAACGCAACCCCAAATGTACCTTCCACTGCTCCGAGATTGTTCTGAACCTCCTGCTGAATGACCTGCCATCCAAAACAATTTGCGAGGACATTGGAAAGCTAAAATTTGTAATTTGGAGTACCGGAATTTACTATTTGCAATTGTGTAGAAATTTGTAAAATTAAAAAGGGGGCAATTTATGAAAATTCCACTTGTTGTCATGCTCTTTCTAGTGGTGGCCACACGTGGGCTCAAATTTGCAAATACGGATACGCTTACGACGACCGTAGAAATTGACACCAAAACCAACGATTTTGGGGAGAAAACAAGCAGATGCTTGTTTCCAATCCTTCAGATTGTGACTCTTTTTTCAATGACTACATACTTTATTGTAACGGACAAGTTCATTGGATTTAGCCTGCCGTCTGTTGAAAATAACGGATGGAATGACGCATACATTTGGATGCATGTAGTGATGATTCTTGTTTCCTTTGTACTTTGTATATTTCTTTTCCTCTAATGTTGTCAAATGATGATGAACATAGGTACAATGATGATGATTGTGGCTCCCAGGATGATGAGAACTGTTGTAAATAAACCTTCAAATTCCCGCCTGCCACCACTTAGCATTTGTTCGATTGAGCTCCACAGGGAAGGATTGGTATTCACATATATTGTTCTCGCGGAAGAATACACGATGTAATCAAAGATCAGGGTTTTCCCCATAAAGACCGTGACCAATTGGCTGGTGTTGGCCCCGCGACTGATAGTAGGATTTGTGGTGGGCTTTGCTGGTTTGCTTTGAAACAGAATTAAGGTGCTCGTGACGCTACTGGTGGGTTTCGAATATCTTGCAGATGCATCACAACAAGATATCAGAAAGGCAAGTAGGAGGATGCGGGATGGCCTCAAACTGATCATATGAAGAAAAGAGATAAACAAACATTTATAAAATAATTGCAATCACCATCGACAACACGATCACGGCCAAAATGATCTTCATCAAAAAGGAGAGTCCAACATTCGCGTACAAGTGTGCGTTGGGGCAGGTTATATTATAATTAACTTTTCCTGGTGTCCTTGAGATTACTTTTAATGTAGACTGTTGCTGATAGTACAGGCCCCGAGTATTCATAAGCCCTTCCATTGCTTTTTCGTCTGCAACCATGGTTCCATCAGTGCCATAAAGTATGACAATCGAAGTGGTTGGTTTTGCAAATAAAACTTGCACAGTATATGTGGGTTTGATTGTGCCCTTCAGCGGTGCGCCATTTTTCAGCGTACTAATAATCGTTACAACATTACCGGCACTAGCAACACTCACAATGGGCGTAAAGAGCAGCATTGCACAAATAAGAAGCGGATTCATTTAAAATTAAAATTTACAATCAATGTCCACCACCATTTGCAATTAGCATTTTTAGAAATCCTTTTTGCTTCCCTGCAAACAACATGCATTGCTTGGTAAAGAGATTTATCGCAAGTCATAAGGCATGGTGTGTTGGTTATAATTTGTTTAGCACTTTTCCACACTCCCATCGGTAAATAAGGCATCTTTTTCAAAGGTCGCTTCGACTCGCGTCTCCGTTCTTTCCAATGGGCTTCGGGTTGCCACCGAGCGTCTCGATATGGCCACCGCTACTGTTGGCATGTGGATCGATACCGGATCAAGATACGAGACCGAGCAGAATAACGGGACCGCTCATTTTCTCGAACATATGACATTCAAGGTGGCCAAATTGCGACTTAGTTTTAGGGCACCAAACGCCGATCGCAATCTGATATTGAGCTGGAAATCGAAAATATGGGGGGCCATCTAAACGCCTATACTTCCCGCGAACAAACGTGCTTTTATGCCAAAACTTTAAGACAGGATGTTCCTGCGGCCATGGATATCTTATCTGACCTTCTTCAAAACGCGGTTTTGGATCCCCGGGCAATTGAACGCGAAAGAGACGTCATTTTGCGAGAGCATGAAGAGGTCAATAAGAACATGGAAGAGGTCATCATGGACTACCTTCACTCGGTTGCCTTCCAAGGAACTCCCCTAGGAAGGACCATTTTAGGAAGCCAAGAGAATATTAGAAAAATCTCAAAAAGCGACATTCAGCAGTACATAGCGGACAACTATTCCGCATCCCGCATGGTTCTAGCCGCGGCGGGAGATGTTGACSACGATGCCATTGTTACGCTGGCTGAAAAGCTATTTTCACGCATCCCAAAAACAACATCCATTTGCAAGCCTCCCCCGGCACCATATACCGGTGCAGAGGTTCGTGTGAGAAACGACGACATGGAAACAGCGCATGTTGTCATTGCTCTCAAGGGAGCCTCATTCAAAAGCCCGGACTACTTCCCGCTCCTGGTTGCGCAGACAATTGTGGGAAGCTGGGATCGGTCCATGGCCGATGGATATTACCTTTCCTCTCCATTGGCCCAAAATGTGGCGCACAACTCGTTGGCACACTCATTTACGTCGTTCAATACGGCCTATGTGGACACCGGTCTTTGGGGGATTTACCTTGTCAGCGATAGAAAAGTATGTTGTTACTTTGTGCTTACCCCCCCTATGCTAGTATAATTTAGATGACCTTGTCAACAATGTCCAAAGCGAATGGGTGCGCCTGTGCCTTCATGTCACCGAGGGCGAGGTTGAGCGAGCCAAAACACAAATCAAGGCCATGATGATGCTTTCGCTGGACGGATCGACCCAGGTTGCGGAAGATATTGGCCGCCAAATTCTTGTCTTTGGGCGACGCTACTCCCTTGCCGAGATGGAGGCTCTGATTGATGCAATTGACGTCTCTATGGTCAAGAAGGTCTGTTCCGAGTATCTGTATGACCGTTGCCCTGCCGTTGCCGCCTTTGGGCCCATTGAAAGCTTGCCAGATTATAATAGAATTCGTGCCAGCACATTGTGGCTCAGAAACTAGTTTTCAATAAAGCGGTTGGGGCCACATCGAACATCTGCGCTTGGGGCCACATCGAGCATCTGCGCTTGGGGCTACATAGGTGCCGTGGCATATACACTGCGATTATACTACAAAACATGTCAAAAAGAACCATTTAACAACATATACAAGCATCTTCGAACATTGCCGTCACCACCTACACAAATAGGAACAAAAGGGCCCCCAAGGTGCTCATGGCAATTGAAAATGCTTGCAGCTTGGAAAATTCGAGAAGCGAGCATCCCTGCTCCATGCAATGTAGAACTGGAAAGGAGAAATAGTGCGCCATATCCATCGACGTGTTCAGCGCAGATTTTTTTGCAAACACCGAAGTGTACCACACAATCGGTGTCGACGTAATTGTGACGGTGACACTTGCCTCCAAAACAGGCGCGACAATGCAAAGCAAAATGGCCACAATTTGGACGCGGGGTACCATAATTGAAATTATTTGAATCACTTTTAAGATTTGTACTTTTTACTTTGAAAACAACAGCATTAACAATTACGCACCTGGCTTTATTTCCGTCACGAGCGTCCAGACAATAGTGCAATAGCAGCATGTGGAGAATTAAAACCATCGCAAATCCTGTCCATGGATCGTGATGACCTGTTTATCCAACAGCGTGCCTCCCAATTATTAAATAAATGTCAGAGTTTATTGTCCGCGCAAGCGTCGCATGGCGTGGTTTGCCGAAAGTCTGGAAGCGGGCATTGGGCGCATCTTTGGTTGCACGCAAGAAACGACGAGTCCAGTTTTTGTGCTGTTCTGGCCAGGATCGACACGCTGGCATCATTGGAGTCCCTCTGAAGCTCATCAATGAAGCTATCAACTAGCGAGGCTAGCCCGTGTTGGTCATTGTTTTTCGCACTCTCCGAAACATTGGCGCCACTTTTGCTGGAAGAGTATGGAAAATCGTGCCCACAAATAGACGAGGCGTCCAGCTTCAAATTGGCCAGGGAATCTAAATCGCACCTTATTGAATCCAAAGATCCATCGCTGACGGGGTCCAGATTGGCCATTTCCTGTGCTATGCCGTTGAAGAACGCTATTTCTTCCTTGCATAAGTAAAAAAGCGGTCTGCAAACGTGGACGATTGCATCTCGGATTGAGGAGATGACAATTGATGGCGTACTGAAGGCTGGAATTAACGATCCATGCCCGTTGAGCGTCAAAAAAAGGGTAAAGAAGGCAACATCGTATTGTGCAGATGGAATGTAAACCAAGTCGTTCGACTTTAACGTTTCCGATTTTAGCAAGGTTTTAATTAGAAAGACGTCAGTGCGATCCTCCTCTTGCTCGGAGACATCAGAGTATCCCACCAATAGAGCTCGTATCTGTGGCATGTATTTGGGCTTTCCATGGCAGCCTTTCGCCAAGAAGAGCAGAAATTTGTACGAAATGCCGCGATATTTTGAATTTACACCAAGCTCGTAGTGGAGCACAAATTTTAAAAGAGCAAGCGAGTCCTGGGTATCCCATAGGGCAACCACAATTGTACATGTCTTGTCTTGGCCGATTTTGGAAGCAATCAACGACTTTGGCTGGGCACTCAGCGCATGCCCAATCTTCTGTTTATATTGCTCAATGAAGCAAGGTTTGCAATAATGAAAATCGCGAAATGAAAATACAAAGGGAACCCGTTTGCATTTAATACAGTTGACTTGGCTGGAATTCATAAATTTTTAAAAAATTTATGGACCACCACTCTGAATGCAGTAGTGCCCTGGGCACGCATCAATAGTAGGCAATGGAAATTAATTTGTAGCTGGAAGACCTATTATCACCAAGATCTGAATAACTGGAACGACTTTGGCGATGCTGGGGAGGTGTGGTTTGGCGGTTCCGTCCAGCATTCCATCGTCGAAAGAAGCTGTCATTGGCATGCAATAAAACACGGCCATTTGGAGTCCCGGCCGTGCGAACACTCCGTGTTCGAGATCGGTACAGGAAACGGACAGTTGTTGCAAGCACTTTTCCGTAAACACGCCTTTTGTTCATATACCGGCATGGACTATGTTGATGAGGCCATTGAGCTTGCCTCCAAAAATGCCGCTGCACTATTGGGCGGCAGCTTTTCATGGAAAGTTGCTGATTTCCTCACGTTTTCGTGCGACTCTACATATTCGCTAATCTTCGACAAAGGGACCTTTGATGCAATCACGCTCGGCGCCTGTGCGCAGAGGCCCCTTGACGACCTCGTCCATCAATACAGGGCAAGTTTGCGCCAGCTGGCACTGCCGGCAACTACGATATTTATAATTGTCTCCTGCAATTGGACCATTGAGGAGCTAGATCGGTGGTTTGGTGCCGGTATGCTATATTGCTCCCATGGCTAATTTATAGAATGGAGGCTGTTAGAAAACATCCAAACTGGCCCGTCATTCTCCTATGGTGGCTCAACGGGACAAAGTACGACCGCCCTTATTTATGAAAAGATATAAACATATAATTTCAAATTTGCTCACAAAGAGTAGCAAGCATACGGACAATGTCGGCGGCGGAAGCCATTGCTCCAATTCCTATGCCACGTTAGCACATAAAAAGCCACCAAAGTCTCCGCAGGCAAGCAGCTTTTCGGCAGGCGGAATTATCCGCATGCCCCAGCTTTTCAATATCCCCAGTTGGTCATTGGTACAAGGATGTTGCCACATTGCCGTGTTCATAGCGGGAGCGACCATGATTTTGGGGCATGAGGCCACATGTGGAATCGATGCTCTTATGATGTTTGTCTATCGCTACATCAGATGTGTTGCGCATGACTTACCAGGAGATTGTCGCACATTCCATGTGCGATCTTTTCAAGCGAATTTGCATCTAATGGCGCTATCAGGATCACATCGCACCAATCCCTAAGCTCTGGTAAGGCAAACAAAGTACCTGGATATGCAACACCGGGTCGCCCAGTCTCTTCCAGCTCTAAAAAGTTAGCAGACCCTTTAGCACGTACGATCCACTCATCTTCATCTCTATAAACAGGAGCGTTGATGTCAACATCCTTTATGAACTTTTCGGCCGTTGAAGTGAGGACTACCTTTACCGATGCATTCTAAATAAATTTCTTAAACAAACCGGAAGCGATTCTTCAATCGAGGAAAGCAATAGAGGCAGCTTTATTGCAGCAACGCTTCCCGTAAGACCAAGGAGCAAGTTCATGTGTCTTTAAAAATTGCGCTACTTCCAAATTATTTTCCATTTTCATTGATGTCCTCGAATAGCCAGGCCCCAAAGTATAGCGAGTACAAAATCAAGTCCTTTCTGCAATCAACAAACTACCACGTCATGCTGATGCCCGAAAAGGGAGGCGGTGCTCTTCCCTTTTCCGAATTTGTGCCACCCGTACGTTTATATCGAAACTCCAAAGACGCCATTTCGGAGGCGTCTCCTCCGATGGATGGCGAAGAAAATCTTGCCTCGTCAAATCCAAGATTAAAGAGACGCTCGCAAATTATCACCCATTTTGAATCTCCAACTCAAAAGGCCCTCAAAGCGGAAGAAGCAGCACCTTGGGTTCTGGAGGATGGCGATGGAAAGTCCTACTCTTCGCGACTTGAAGGGGGGCAACAGCAAAAATATGTTTTATTCGTCAATCAGGTAGCACCGCATGCCATGACAAGAATAGGGCGCCGAGTTTAGAGTGTTACTGGTCAACAAATGGTACCGATTTTCGCCCCGGCTTTCGCTTTCCACAAACATCGGTCTCAAGGAGGAGGCCGAAAACACCAGGAAACTGCAGCCCACAACGCGTTTGGAACAGATTGTCATGAAAAAAGAGGCTGTCGTCGAAATCGATGAAGAGGAGCGCCCAGATCATGTTCCCGATGTATGTATCCCCTTCCTTTCTAATTCAAGGAAATTGAGGGATTGGACTACGATGATGTCTTTGATGACGATGAAGATGATACCAACGAAGGTAGTGAGGCCATCAAGGATCGGACAACTAAATCAGTACTGGGGGCTTTTTTACCTTAGACCCTCACAATAGCAGGACGAGAGATGCGAAAGACACTTCGCCACCTGGATAAATCGAACCTTTATCAATCCGATGAGGATGAATCCGAAGTTTTACCTGAGGATTCGCTATCCTATTCATCTGAAGAAGACGAGCGAACCGAAAATGTGGCCTTGCCATTGGAGAAAAAAGAGGTGCCCGAAGTCGTCGCCAAGGTAGGTAGCTGTGGCAGATCTTTCCTTAGAACACCAATGGACCTTTGAAAAAAGCCAGGGTCTCCTTGCCCGCCTCTTCAGTGGGCCATGACTCCATGCTACTTACGGATGCAGATATTCTCCCGCATCTCCAAAATGGCCCAATCAAGGTGAAGGACTTGATTCTGCTACTAAAGGGGCCTTTGAAGGCCAACCCTTCCAACAAAGAGCTTTTTAAAGAGCTCGTTAAAAAATTGTGTGTCGTCAAGCTTGGACAAGGGGACGACGAAAAGTGGCTCAGTATTAAAAAATAGAACATTTGAAAAATCAATCGGACAACAAAGCCTGAAATGGTAACCCACCATCAATCGATGGATGGATGGGAAATTCCCGCGGCCACCCCAAGCAGCCATCCATTGATGTGCAATCATTGGCAATTGCTTGTAACGCAAAGGGGTTGAGACGTAATTTGGGCCCGCTGTGAGAGTCAATTCCTACAAACTTTTATTGATTTAGCTAGAAGATGGAGCGGGGGGAGATGGCTTCCTTGGAAGCGCCCCTCTTTTTGCAGATGCTTTTGTTTTGGCCATGTCGAAGAGCTTGGATGATTTTGTGGTGAGTTCATTCATTACATCGTTGAAGGCAGAATCGATTTCCGGCACAAGCGGTTTAAAGAATGGCGTCACGCAGCATTCGAGAAACTTTCCGGACAAATCGGATTCGGCAAGAGGAAGATACACCAATGCAACCATTTTAAAGATAATGTAGAAAGCAGGCATGTTTTCCGGGCTTCCATGCTCCAGAATTCCAGTGATCAGATGCATCAGGTTCGAGACTATCCAAAAGTTGACCCAATGGGAAACGCCACCCGTCGACTTTTGAGCGCTGATTCCCTGGGTCGATTCATCTGGAAAAAAGTGACAAATATGTACCTAGCGCGGTCTCCGCAATGCCTCTGGCCTCGACGGCTTTGTACGACTGATAGATTGGGTAGAGGATTCCAAAGATCCAGTACACGGGAAGGCTAATGTAATAAAGTATCGATGTCATTCTGATGGCGATGCAAAAAGTAAATTTTATTGCACATGCATGCCACATTGTACGAAGCAGCTGAAATTTTAAATGTAAAATTTGATCATTTTTACGATGGGTGATTCTTCCTGCTCCTCGTCCTTCACAAATGAGATGATCCTGTGGCTCGAATTCAACCAGGACCTATCGTATGCTGTCATTCATAGCTTACCTGCAGATGCTTGGCAGTCGGCACCACGCACGGGTTTAAAATCTTCAATTGCGATCCGCTTTCCCTGTGCTACGATTACCTTGGTAAGCATGTGTGCACAAATGGTTTACCTCAAGACGACAATCGGGAAAGCGGCGCCAGAATCGTATCCATGCTCTTTTGTACAAGCATGATCGGCGTCGTTGGGCTTGGAGACGGCCGTCTCCGCCTCACGTCGCCCCGGGGTTCGAGCGAAACCGAGCTGCCCCTTGGTGGCGGCCCATCTAATTCCATTCCAAAAGGTACGCAATCTGTGCTTTCTTGGCTAGGCGCCCTTTCCAGCGCCAGAACGCTCTCTCTGATCAATACAAAGCACGGTTCTGTTATGTATGACCTGCGATTTCCATCGACCATCTTTCACGTCCAAATGAACAGAAAAAGGCTGTTGGTCAATTGTGATGGCCAAGTCTTTATTTACGACATGTCCACGATGGCAAAGCTATTTTATTTGACCATTCCATCGTCATCCTTTTCCTTCACCGCAGTTTCGTCGGGCGAAGGCAAAGAGCCGACAGACGACGGTGTCTTGCTGCCCACGTTGCAGGTTTCCACGGGAAGACACATCGTCAGCTTATCTCCAAATTCGGAAGAGCCATATTTCGCAATTCCAGACATATCTTCGCCCGGAGATCTGCTGGTTTATGACGCGTTTGCTTCGGAGCCCGTGAACGCGACAACCTCTGACGCATGCAAGCCAAAACCAGCGTTAAAAATAGTTCAGGCGCACAAATCTCCATTAGTTTATGTAAAGTTTAATACTTCTGGGAATCTGATAGCCACCGCCTCTGACAAGGTAATCGAGACTTGCCTCCCCATTTCTCATAGGGCACAATCATTAGGATATTTAGCCTTCCAGACGGGATTTGTCGGTATCAATTCCGAAGAGGCTCGTTTCCCATATCCATTACCTATTTGTCTTTCTCTCAGAACTCTACTTTTCTCGTGGCGGCGTCTGAGGAATCAGACACGATTCACATTTTCCGCTTGTTGCCATTTACAAGCAGTGGATGTGGCTCTTTTTCGGCATCTTCCGGGTTTCAATTGACTTTTTTCTAACCCCTCCGTAGCGTGATCGGCTCTCTTTTGCCATCGACAATCAATGATGCCTTGGAGCCAGAAAGGCACTTTGCATATGCCAAAATCCCGGAAAAGACACGAAGGGTAATATGCGCCATTGTCAAGTAAGAGCTAACCCTTCCAACGCTACCAGTAACTTGCTTGTGGTTGCAACCTATTCGGGCTCCTTGTACACATATAGAGTCAACTTTGAAAATGGAGGCGAATGTGAGCTGATCAAGCGTCAACAGTATGTGCATTAGCCTTTTCTCTTTCGTTAGCCTTTTCCAAATATAACTTGCCGCACACATGTTTCTAACTGTGATACGCGCGCAGTGAATTATGGTATCTTTTAATGGGCCTCAGTAAATCCAATAATAAACAGGAATAGTCATGTAACACATTTATGCAGCCCAACGTTGCTACCACTCAGTTTGTAGATTTTGAAATTTCTTCTTCCAGCCGTTTTTTGGCCTCCTCCATTCGGATCGTGTATGTTCGTTTGGAAACAAAATAATTAACCCACACTTCTGGGCACCGCTTGGAAAACTCTTCATATTCACCCCCACAATTGGCATCGCCCTTTTTATCAAGACATTCAAAGTAGCGTTCCTTGGATTTCCAGCATTTATCCCTTTCCTCTCTATTATATGAGCTGCCACGACTACGTGGCAATCGTGACGCAGCCGGACAAGTTTCCAAGTCCTTTTCTGGGGTCATAAAATAAAATTAAAATTTAAGAAAATTTTAACTGCAATGAACACAAGGGAATCCATTGATGTGCTCTTTGATTCTACAAGCTTGTCAACGTGCATCAATGCTGCCGTGCAAGCTGCGGCTGGCAAAAAGGTTCTAATGGTCGAGAAAAGCCCCTTTTTTGGCGGGAGCGTGGATTGTGCCCGGTCTCTGCAAGAAATCCATTCATCTGATTGTGATATTTCAACTATCCAAATCGAGAAGTCGTGGTGCTCCCCGCAGGCTCAGAGCATTTTGATTGATTTTGGCGCATGTCCGCTGGGAACAAGGCACCCTGTTGTCGATTCCTGCATTGAGCTGAAAATTTCTTCCGATTATTTGTCGATGATCGAGGTCAAGCCGCTTTATTATTTGTTTGAGGGCCGCCATTATAAGGTTCGTTGGCATTGGGGTTGATTGTAGCTTCCACTTTCGAAAGAAGATGTGTTTTCGGACCGCTCCTTTTCGCTGCTCAAAAAAAGATCCTTCATGCGCATATTGGATCAAGTTGAAACGCTGTCTATGGAAACGCTTTCCACGTTTGACCCTTTATTTCGTGAAATGGTTCTTTTTGGATATTGCAATTTCGCTTCAGCCTTGGAGGCAGAGAACGCAAGCGATGAGACCATTAAAAGTCGCCTCCAGAAATTTAAATCGGCGATTGGTCGCTTCCATCCCTCCTGTTCTGACATTGATGACGAGGAGCACGATGGAAATGATGTGATTGGAAAAGCATGCACGCCAACTTCTCCAATGCTATTTCCTCAACACTCGAATTTTGAAATTTTACAGGTCTTCATAAGGTACGTGGTACACATTTGAGCGTGTTTTTAGGAAAGCATGTGTTTTTGGATCTACTATCATCTTGAACGCATCAATATCCAATTTCGTTCAAATGGAAAACGACAGTTGTCAATTTTCGGTCCTTCAAGATTCAGAATCACACTGGACTCTCCGCTCCAACACTTTGGCCGCGTCCGCTTTAGCGGAACCGATTTGTGCGGATGCATCTTGCGCTGCCTTGGTTCTTTCCTGCTCGTCAACAGCAAATGTGCCCATTCCAAGCATGCACAATGGGGCTTGCTTTGCATCCTCTCTGTATCATGGAACGGTGATCAATGTTCTGTGTCTCGGATCAGCGACGGGCTGCACACCTGCAGAGACAAGTTTGGCGATTTTTTCCAAGTTACATGTTTAGTTTTGGTGTATGTTTGGCAAAAGGGACCTTTCAACACCATGTTGTGCTTTGTCAGCGAATGTCTCAAAATAGAGGACTTAAATAGGGATACGTTGGGCGGTGTGCTATTTAGGCGGCCGCACAAAGACATTTTCGGTTGAGCGTCGCTAGTATTCCACATCAATCAGCGAGTAGGGATTGCTTTTTTTATAGGAGCTGCCATATTTTTGTTCATCAAAAAGCTCTTCTATTGGCAGCTTGGAATAGGGGCACAACTGGTGGCACAAAACTTGCAAATACTCTGAAATGGGGCTTTGCATCCAATCTATGGCCTCTTTGAGGAAACACAAAGAGGCCTTCTGCCTTTGCTCAATGAGAGGCGTCCCAAGGGCGTTTAGATTTTGTGCTGCCTTGTACCATCTTGTTTTGGGGCCATTGTATGTCGTTGCATTAAAGCAGATGAGGTCAAAATCTTTTTTGAATAGTTCCCATGCCGCAGATGAAATTTGTTGATGCACAGAATCTTTGCTTGTTGAGGGTATTAGCAATTGAGCCTTTTGCAGATATTTTCCTGTCGTTAACTTGAACTCGATCGTTGCAAAATCCATCGGATTTTCTATAATATCCAAATAGTCTGGCGCATACTCAACCGATACGGGTTCTCGAAAATATTTTTGCTTATCAATGGACTTTAACTTTTGCAACACGTCTTTCTGTTCATGATAAGTGGGCACTCGCAGTAAGTTTGAAATGCGTCCTATTTGCTGCAAATCTTTTAGCTTCAATTCAAACAGCCTTTTGTTGAGCTCAACTAGGCTCCTGATCATTTCAAGTTGAAATCGGACGCCCCTCAACCTTTGTGTAATTTCTTCCAAAACATCTTCGGACAGTGAACTTGAGGGGCTTGAATTTTCAAGATACAATCGTCGAATCAAGGACACCCCCTTGAAGTCTCTTTTAAGCGACCAATATCTTGCTACGGACCTCAAAAAATGCTCAAATTGATGGGAAGACTCCGTTGATACCTTTTTCCACGGAAACTTGTTCGAATCGTGCTTCCATGGCTCGCCATTTCTAATTCTGGAAAAAATAACTTCTGGAGATACAGGTGGCATCTGCGAAATCTTAATAGGCTCACTGTTTGGTTGTTCATTTTTTTCGGCTATGTTTGGAACCAGAGTGGGCAGGGTTTCTGATGATGCACCTTCAACTTTGAAGCCTTTGGGAACAAAATATTGGTGGTTAACCGTTTGTATCGGTTCAGTTGGCATTGTACCTTGTGCGTTGAGTTCGATCCCATTAAAAGTCCTATCTTTTTGGCCGTTTGGAGTGTGTCTAGGGCAATATGTGCGTTTATGCATATAATCCATGCTCAAGTTTGCCAGTTGCGCACATCTTACGTGGAACGAAACATTACAATGTTTTGAAGAGCATTGGATCGGTGCCCCGTGTTTGATTTTGCAAAGAAAGCACTTTAGCTTCAACCTTGCCGGGGAAATCTGCGAAATTCCAGTGATCGGCTCCAAATACGTTTCGTTTGAAAACCCGGTCTCTTCAATATAGTGTGCACAAGCTATGTGTGCCCAACCTCCGTCGTCAGTGGGTTTGATGGCACCTTCATAATGCGGGCACAGCGTGCAGTTGACAATGGAATTTGGAATCAGTCCACACTTGGTGCATAGCCATCTTCCCTCTGGAATACTAGGCACCCCGTAGCATTCCTGGTGGACGGCCATGTCACATCGGTCACAAAATATTATCGCGTTTGCATTCGACGCGTCTGGAGATCCACAGACATCGCAACAAGAATCGTCTGACACTTCGGTGTTGAACTCTTCCTTTAGGATTAACGGATTTATCTAGGGCTTGTAAAAAAAACTTACCAGCGAATGCCACTCTTTTTCAAATGCATCAATGGCAGCCTCAAAGTCGTTCTCGGTAAATGTATACGCCTTTGCGTCTGCATGTTGCTCGTTGTAAAGTCGAAGCCATTCCGCATCTAAAGACAAGATTCGCAGCATACCTTCCAAATCCATGTCGTATTCGACCACCGAATATGGGTCGATCGGTGCACACGAAATTTCTTCAAAATATTCGTTGTTCAACGGCAGCGGCAGCAATCCTTTTGTTTGTATCAAGCTGTCCGTGATTTGTGTGGAAAATGACTTTATGGATGATTGGAATGCCTGCAGAATCCTTTTTTTGGCACCAGGTAGTCGCTCATCTACCACCACAGTTAGTCAATTTCAAACAAGAAAAGCCGAAAAATTTTCAGACAAGAAAGGCCGACAAATTTTCAGACAAGAAAGGCCGACAAATTTTCAACATTTACTTACCTAGAGAGCTTCCAATTAGTTCGGAGGAGCAATCTATTTTATCCTCAAATTGGTAGGCATTTTGTTTTTGTTGATGGTCGCAACTTGAGTCCGCCTTTCCATTTCCCTGCATTTGATATCTTTTTCGCAATGTGCGGGCAGGGGTGCTCGTCGGAGACAAAATAGGAGAAGATTGCTCTTTATCCTCCAAAGTAGGTGTTCGCACATCTGATTCCGATGCGCTGATTACAAACTTTATCGGCTCATCCAATTGAATGCCATTGGGCCCATACACCTCTTCTACTGATCTTTCCTCCCTGGGGCGGCTGTCAGAAGAGCAGCCAATAAATGGCTTTGCGCCGAAAATAGGGCTCAGAGTCACCTGGGTCTGAAGTTCCGTTTCAAAATATTCCCTCCGGCGCGACGGGTGTACAAAGGCCGTGGGCTTGCTTTCGTGCATGGAGCCCATTCAAATTACGATGTATGCAGATGGGGTTTTGCTGAATTGTGGCCTCTGGCCATCTTTACATTTGTTTGTGCTGCAGTGCGACCACAGGGCTGGGGTCTTTCTGATTGGCGCCAAATTAAAGTTTAATTTACAAAGGCATTCCGCACCCATTGAACAATGGCTCCTCATCGAGCTTAGGGTTACATTCAGATTTATCGTTGCCACCTAAATATACGCTCCTTCACCCTATTGCCATCGTGATCTAGAAGATTGATCCCATCAGCACCATTTCTATTATGGTCTGTGGACCCGGGTTTGATATGGACAGTAAACAACACCAATCGCAATGCTTGGATTTCGTCGGCCGAAAAGACCGTTGTGTCGGATTTCAAATATGATCTCAACGCCCCCACATCCTTTACATACTCGGGTATTCGTGTGGCCAGCGATCCGGGATCAAATTGGCGGCTCCGTTTGTAGGGGCCCCATTGGATCAGCGGCAACAGGTTTCCAAATTGCGACATGCTCATATGATCGGGAAGGCATGGGAGTGTGCATGGCACTCGGGTTTGCTCAATCTGCACGACGAGATAAGGTCTGTGTGGGAATTGCGGCTGCTCCCTTGGAAAAAACTCGATTCTCGTGCCATACTCCCCCTGTAGATGGACTGTCCTATTCGGATTGTATTTCGTACGCTCAGGCTTTGCTTGAAAATCCCTGTCTTTTGGGTGCCTTGTTTCCAGATGGCTCTGGTCGTTGAGGATGAAGCCGCCACAAAGATTTTGCAAAATAAATGGGATGTGGCTTCGTAGTCTGTTTACGATTTTTGAGACTGGAATGGCCCTAGGGAGGGTCTCTTTAATGCGATAGAGCAACCCCAAAAGCAGCTGCCATTCGCTCTTTATAACCATTGCCATGATGAGGATGTCCAACAACCGCATCACATGGTGTATCCTGTATGATCTGGAAAGGATCCACTGCGAACTATCAATGGTTTGGCCCGACATGTTATCAACGGCGACCAAATGCTCGCAGGGGTCTCCCTCCTCTTCATGGGCTTTTATCAGAGGATCAAGAAAAAGATCATCAAATAATACACTAGGTCTAGCATTAACATCACGGACTCCATTGTGCGAAAATGCCGTGGATGGGCCATCCTCAATTTCCGTTATCTCAGCCTCTGAGAGGTGCTCTCTAGCGAGATACTTTCCCCCTTGAGGCAGCCAAAACGCGCTGTTGTTGTTGTTGTCTGTTTCAATAAATAGCCGATAAAAGTCCACGATTGGATTGTATCTTTTCCGTTCCCACAACAGCGATATGGTTGCTATCCATGCATGTGCGTCGAGTAGATAAAGAAAGTTTGCCGATGACCGCATCGACTTTGCCATTGAAAGATTGAGAATTGACGAGACGAACGAGAGATAAGTCCCGCCAATTGTGAAAAGAGAAAAGATGAACTTATCGACAGCAAATTTTTCCGTCTGAAGGCGTGGTATGGAACTCACAGGACCCTCGTACAACGAGGATCGCCTAAACCACGTTACCAGGACATCTAGTTTACTTCCAGAGCTAGAAGGGCCCGTTAACATCACAGAAGGTTCTATCGATGACTGGGCTGATTTTTGGCGATACCTTGCATTTGGTCCTGAATTGGTAAGCGTTTCCAAAGAAAACTGCAAGACCTTCAAAACAAGCCAGCCACGCAGGGCCCGCAGCTGTGTATCAGACTTACGTACATCTCCAGCAATGGCATTCATAAGAGACTGCGCTAAAGGAACTAGGGTGTCCTTGGTCCACAAAATATCAAGAAGTGGATAAACTGCCATGGCTGATGAAGAGGGGGGTCTAATCTTGGGCCCGAGAACAAGAAAAATAAGCTCTCGAACTTCAGAGTCTGAAATTTCCGACAACGCACGAAAGCCCAACCGACTGCATGCAAGAATATGTTCGCACGTAGTGGTGCCATCGACACTGACATCATCGGAATGCCCATCTTTTGCTCTAAAATTGGCATCATGTTTTTTATGCAAAAAGACCATCCAAGACCGAAAAGGAACAGTTCCGGTGGAAAACTCTAGTGCACGGTGGTAGAGAAAGGCTTGCTGCCGATCAAAGGAGGGATCGAGCTCAAAAAGAATCTGTGGCGCTTGTACACAAAGACGCGAGCGTAGATGCTCAAATACACAAGATTTACGTCGGATACGACTGGAGATCTCGTCATAGAAAAGGCGGTTAGAGTCTGAAATTCCATCGGCAAGGCTTGATAACCTCAGGTGTAACTGCAGCACAAAGATTTCGAGAACCAAACAAGGAACATCGACCGATTCCAAAGTTCTAAAAGATGCTGAAGCACTTATAGCACCAGATGTGGGGGCACTTAAGCCGTGGGGTGCTCCAAGGGCCGCCTCAAGTCCTACAATGAACTCGGTAATGGGGATGACGATAATTTTTTGGCGGCTACCATGGTCACTACGCAGGTAAGTAGCCAGATGGTTGCGATATGCTCTTAGTAGCAGCTTTAAGATTCGAAAATCTAGGCGTGCTCCCTTGATTGCCATCAGGTGTAAGATGGAGCGCGCCATGGAGAGATGTTGGTATTCAATGGACTTTACATTCAAATTGAGTGCTTTTCTGTTTTCCTTGCACTGGAAGAAATGCTCCACTAAAGAGGCGAGAACACCAATATGGAAGACCTGTGTGGAGAGTTGCAGCATTCTATAGATGATGGCGTTTTTTTCTTCCAGCGAAAAGAGATGCATACTCCGAGTCAGCTGCTCGTGAGAGCGGACGATGCGAATAAGCCGTTCCCCGACAGAAAATGAGTCGTCATATGCAAGCAAATAGGCAAGAATCTGAACGGCATCAAGCCGGTCGAATGTGATTTGCTGGGCCGTAACGGCGTTTAGAAATCCATGGATTTGATATCGGAGGGGCATATTTCCCCGTAGCAAAGAAAGAGGATCGGATTTCTGAATGTCTTGTGAATTTTCTGTAAAATTGGCCTGCCTGGTGTCTTCAGATTTGCGGTCATATCCCGATGTTTGCATCCACGAGAGATAGTTGGAGATCCTGCCTTGCAGACCGTAGTTGTCATCACCAAAGATGTCAATATCACGCATCAGCACATCCAACGAGAATTCAGAAGGTGATTTAGCATGTGAAGAATATTTTGCACGCCAAGAGGCCGTTCGATGCAGGCAATAGCCGGCCATGCCTGACGAATGGCCAAGCCGCATGGGGATCGTTTGAAAAATTGCTGTGTCTGAAAATTTATTTTTTTAGCTGCAAGTTTACTGCTTTCTGCTCCCATGGCGCATTTCAGTTGCTTGCTACTTTCGCATGGAGCCACATCGCAACGCTATCAGATGTTTGAGTTTTCATCCTTGGACGGGTCGGGACAGATGTTGGACTTTGTCATTTGCGACGGGGATCCCAGGTCAATATGCCAACTGTATGATTTTTCGTTCAAGGGCTCGTGCAATGGAAAAGAATGTCGATCGCATGTCTCCAACAAAGAAATTGTCAAAAGTATGTGATTTTTGTTCCCCTTCACCTATATAGGGTGTGGAGAGGCTAAAGTTTCTGCAAAAGTGTCCGTAGCCTTTTTCCTAATTGCAATTCTGCACACCATTGAGGAGGCATGTTTTGGTATCTTCTTAGCAATAGGAAAGTGCGGTGCGATGGGACGAATCCATATCCTACTATTGCACGTTGAAGGGCCTATCTCCGATTTCGAGATCAGTTGTCATGGCATTTTGCACGGCATCAGAAGCCCTGGCATACTTAGAAAAGCTATCTAACATTTCACTTTCAACGTCTGGCCATTTAATGGTGGAGAAGAATTTAGAAAAAATTTTGGAATTTTGCCGAACCATCCTATCCATGATCGAAGCCACGGTCTCATCATCCTCTTTTAAGGGCCAAGGTTTAGCTATTCTATCGGAATGGATCTTTCCCGAATACCTTGCCGAAATTTCAAACTCAAAAGCTGCCACATGCAGCGCTCTAGAGCATATGGCAAACTAAAGCTGGAGATACGAGAAAAATTGATCAAAAAGAGGCATTGGATGGCAGACGCATAAATGCTAAATTAATGCTGCAGTGGAAAATAAAGCAAAAATAAAAGCATTGGTGTGTATTTTGAAATTGGGCTGAGCGTTGCATCAGCTGCCATGACCCCTAAAATTCAAATAAGATTTTTTTACAGCGTAGATTTTGCCTAACCCTTCTTTGAGCTAAGGAAAAAGCAATTGGCCTCGAAAAAACTCCAAAAACTGTCCGCCTCCACACCCCACGTCCAAAATCTATTTTTAGAAATGGCGCCTAACCCTGGAGCACCCAGCGACCACTTCAAAGGCGCGTTTGTACCTTTGATAGGCAAGGGGGGGATCAAAAAGAGGCTCAAACATCAAATTGGA